AGGTCCAGCTGCTCTGCTTGTTCTCCTGCCCTGCTTGGATTGCTTCTCTGGCCCACCATTTCCTGCCTCATCTCTTCCATGATTTGCACCTCTGGGGCTGCCACCCATGAGGGCCGGAAGTGCCATGGCTGATGCAAGGGTTGTGGCCTAGGAGTTCAGTGGCTTCTGCCGTCAAGATAGGAGGGAAGGGTTAGTCAAGCTTCGGTTTCACAAGTAGCGGGAACAGCCAAATGTCTTCTTCAGCCTGATTTATCATTGCTAAGTGACTGTGTATCATAACTTCTGAGTGTTGCAGAGAAGAAACTATTGGACACAGTGTCTAGATGCAAACCAGCTGCCTTTGGAGCCCAGAAAGGTAGGTTTGCTGAATTTCCAAGAGGTCACTGCGACATAAATGCAGTCTTCTCCCTGATTTCAGAGGACGTGTATTGACCTTCTGTGTGCAATGTCACTTGCAAAACATGCCATCCACTCATAAAAGTGTACTTGGCCTTGGATGGTCTCCCAAAATGTTTCCAGTTGTGGGGGCATCTCATTTGGAGTTATTCTGTTTCCTGATGAAGGTGTGTCATTTCCATCCCTCTGAAAAACAGCCGTCTTGTTCTCAGACCATGACAAGAGAAATAGGTTAATTCATTGAAGACGAGCTGGAAAGTGAGGTCAAGTGATCGTCTGAGTGTTCCAGAATGTAATCATTCTCTACATCGTGGGAAGCTGATTTTCTAGATGGGGAGAGATTTTGTAGTCATTGGGCTTGTTCCATGTCCCAACTACAAGGGAGCCCACATGAGCAAAGCTCCCTTAGGAGCACCCCAGTCCCAGTGGAAGAGGCAGCGTTGTGCATTTGATCAGAAACTACTAGAGGTCCAAAGACATGGGATCATACCCTTTCTGAGTAGGTCAATGTTTATTCTTCCAAGCCCTGTTGAAATATACCTAAGAATACTGAGGGGCTCTTAGGACCTCTGTCTGTTAAACTTTGAGCAAACCTGGAGAATTGGGATGCGCCAGGCAGCTGGAAAAAAAAGCCAGTGCAACCCCCTCTTCAAGAAAGAAAGAAAACCCTGTAATTATCAACCAGTGAACTTAACATCAATACCCAGAAAGATGCTAGCGCAAATAATAAAGCAGGCCATTTGTAAGCATCTTGAAGATAATGCCATTATTGCTGAGAGTCAGCAAGGCTTTGTGAAAAACAGGTCATGTGAGACAAATCTTGTCTCCTTCTTTGACAAGGGAGCTACTTTATTGGAAAAAGGGGAAGGCAGTGGGATAATCTACCTCGATATCAGCAAAGTTTCCACATGACATTCTCATTGACAAGCTGCTAAAGTCTGATTTGGATGGCACAGCGGTAATATGGATCCCTCCCTGCCTGGCTAAATGCGATCAGGGAGCCAAGGACCGGAGGACGTGGCCTGCCAGGAAGGCTGAAGGCACTTGAGAGATGTTCAGTCTGGAGAAGAGAGGTCTCAGGGGTGTCCTCAGGGTGCAGATCCGCAGAAGGGAAGAGAGGGAGGGATTATTTTTCGTTGTTACAAAAATAAGGCCAGAAATAACGAGTGCAAATTACAGCTATCTGGGTTTCATTTAACTATCATGAAAATATTCTTGTCAGTAAGATCTGTGCAATAATTGAACTGTCTATCCGCGGAGCTTTTGGGTTCTCCATCTCTGGAGGCTTTTCAGGAGAGGTTGGACGTCACAGATGGTTGACTTGATTTTCTTACATGTTGCAGAAGATTTGGACCAGAGGATCCTTGAAATCTTTCCTAACACCGCAATTCTTTTATTCTATGACATGCATTATTAAAACTGATTTTCTCTTGTGAAAAGATGGTACTGATGCTCAGTTTTGCTTGCTGTCGCCTCCACTTTCGGTGCTTTTCACGAAACCTTTTTTTTTTTTTTTTTACAGCTCTGAGTTCCTCAGTGGTCAGCCTTTCTTTCATGCTGGGAGATTCTTCAGTTTCTGATTTCTTTTCATGCTAAGAATTCTCTTATTCCAGGAGGATGAGGAGGATGGCTTAATCTTTACTACCTCTGGTCCATGTCCTTAAAGAAAACAAAAACCTTTCGTTTTGTTGCTATTGATCCCACATTTTCGTAAAAAAAAAAAAAAAAACCTTTCAGGGACAGGATGTCTTGTTTCCTCCCCACCCCCACCCCCACCCCCCCCCCACCCCATCCCGGATGCTTCCCTTCCTGCTCTTCCTATTATGTAGAATGCGTGTGGTTTTAATCTCAAAATCAAAACTATTGATTTATTAGGTTTACTAAATTCATACTTGCTGTTATCCACAGACGCCGCGTGGTTAATGATAGCCCAATGTCAGTCAACAGTACAATAATACTACTATTTAAATTGTATTTTTGCTCTTCATTTTTCATTATTAATTGCATCTTGACCCATTTTCCTGTTAATAAGCTATGCCAAACTATTACTATTCCCATTAGTTCTGTCTGCAGTGGCTCTTCTCCCCTTATTTCGTCCTCGTGAGTCTGTTAAAATGGCTTTATCCAGTGTTTCCTTTTCCCACTTTCAAAGCCTTGTTTCTAGATACTCAGTGTGCAACAATAATCATGCCTCTCTGTTTTATTTTATTTTTTTTCTTTTCTCCTTTGCTAGATATCTTTCTGCTTTTCATGTACGGTTTAAGATCCTGTTCCTCTCCTCCTGGTGCCTTTCGTTTCTGCTTCTTTCCTCGTCAGTCTTTCTTGTTTTGGGGAGGGGGGTGCAAAAAGAACTGATTGCTCATTAAACCAGCGTGGATCCCCCACTCTTTTCTTTTCTTATCCGTGAAACTCTGTCCTAGCTGATTTTTATTTAATTGATTCCCTTCATTTTTCCCCACAAATGTCAAAAGAGTCACTCACTCCAATTTGCTTCCTTCCTCTTTCAGTTTTGGAGTTTTCTTAAAAATTGACTTTCTTTCTCAATCCAAGTGTATCAAAGCCTACTTTTCTTGAACCGAACACAACGAGGAGATCCTGGGGTATTTCAGCACTCATCCTGGCTTCCCCTTCTTTCCAAGACCTTCTTTTGTGTGGGACTTGCAATGGTGGCCAGTGGGGGAAAATTGGGGGAGGGGCGGGGGGCTGACGGGGACTTCAGAATTTCAGACTTGGGTTATGTTATGATGAGAGGTCCAGATACTTTCCTCATCTCTCATTCTGACCTGGAGATTGTTGTACAGCTTTGTGTAGTTGCATCAGTGGAGTCCAACTCTTGCCCTCCAATAGTGTCCAAAGAGCAGCCCACTCCTTGCTTCTGGAAAAGCTGTGGGTTGTGTTGCATTGGTGCATGTGCCTTGAGAGTCTGCTTTGCATTACAGTTGGGATACTTTTTTTACTTATCTATCTTAAACGATACCGTCAATTCCATAATTGCGTTTTCAAATTATAACCACTGACCGGGGGGGGGGGGGGGAGGGCTGTGTGAGTCTGTTACAGAGAAAATGAGTTTTGTGGCATGAGATGTTGATGCGTTAATAAACTTGTGACTCTATTAAGGTGTAGCACATTCTCTCCTCTCCTCTAGCTTTTTTCAATCTTGTGTGTGTCATACTATAGAATTTGCAAACTGTGATGCCTAAGACACCTTATTAAGCTATTTTCTTATAGGATAATTGGAAACCTTACACTTGGTTATAACTCAGTCGTGGTGTTGACTGTTATTTACAGTGTTCCTTGTATCGTCCTCTCATTATGAGGACTGAGTTGAAGACTCCCTATCTGATCAATTAAGGGCCAGGGTCTACTCCAATTCTCTGCCTCTAGGTTTTGCAAAGGGATCCAACTTCACTGACACTCTCGCCGGGACAGAAAATGTGGTTGCTAAAAGTGTTTTGCATTTAATTGTGAATGTCTTGTGTTTGTCTTTTAATCCGTACATGTCTATTCCTAACCTGGCTTCTATCCCAGGATTCGTAGGGGGAAAAAAAATAACCAGAATCTAACATGTTTCTTTATTATTGGCCATTCCTAAAATTACCACAGGCGCTGCTGATTCAGTGTGTCTGGTGCGAACAACCAAATCCACACGTGAAGAGTTCAATTAGCTACTTTATTGCTCATGACTATAACACAGGAATCTTCCCTGACTGTTGGTTTGCATCTGGGCCACCCTAGATAAGGTTCAATGGCGTTCAAGGGGAGTCAGTTACCCTTTTGTGCCTACACAAGGATTCCAGACTTATTCCCTGCTTGACTCCTCCTACTGGTTTGGCCAGTCTGTCTCCCCCAAAATATCCATGGCAAGGAAAAGATGGTCTTGCTCTGAAGGTGTCCTGGTGACGTTGGGTATTGCGTCTGTGCGGTGGTTGTGGTTTAGGGCAACCTTCTCCATAACTTCTCTTCTCCTGCAGGGTCTTTCCAAAGGGTTCCCAGATTCTCTCCCTGGGTGTGAAATGCTTTCATCCCCTTGCGGCTTTTGGGGGCATTTGAGAATTTCTTGGCTCTTGCAGAAACCAGTGCGTGGCTCAGCCTACACCTTCTCGTCAAATGCTCCCACAAGAGCCCAGCCTATTAATTTGCCACCGCACAAAGGATCGCCAGCCCATAAAATATGATGCATGATAAAAGGTATCAATTCTGAACACCGCAAATCTGCCTTTTCACCACAGCGTGAAGGCAAATGAGTTTCCTTTAGCTCGAATGAGTTCAGAGATAAACTTCAATTTAACAAAATTTCTTTTTGCAAGAACCAGGGGGAGCCGCTGCCTTGGCGTGCAGGTTTCTTATCAACATGTTAGGTTTGGAGCTTATTAGTCAACTTAATTTGGGGAAACGCCAGGATAATTTACAGATCTAAAGGTCCAACTGCCGGGGAAGCCCTTGACCGTTTTCTTCTGCAGGACCGGTCTTTTTAAAGAATTAACCAAATGAGCCATTTGCTTGGTGTCTTTTTGTAATGGGGTGACTCATTCATTCATTCGTTCATTCATTCTTATTTTTTTTCCTCTCTTTTTCATTGTCTGTGTTGTGTCTTTGATGTGCAGATAAGCCCGAAGTACAAGTTTTGCAGAATTCTCCTCCGCAGCCGCTCACAAGGGAAGGAGACCTGCTCGAACTCCTCTGCCAAGTCAAAGGGAAACCAGAGTAAGTGAGGCTCTCACGTGGGGTTGGCTTGCTGCGAGAGAGCAGGGCCTCTCTTGAGTTGCTGTGTGGCAAAACCTCCTTTCTGGCTTGCCACCCTGTGGCGGCTCTCCCCTTCTTGAACCCCTGCGTCTCTCGGCACCTTCTCTATCCTGCTCTTCGTCCTGGTCTTTGTGGCCATCAGGCAGTGGAGGCACCAAGATGGCCTCTGCGGAAGCCGCTGCCATCAACCATCCTGCTTGAAGCAATTGGTGGCCTTCAGTCATTCTAGAGCACAGAAGTTGTCTCCATGGCGGCCTTCAGTCATTCTAGAGCAGAAACCGTGTCTCCATGGTGGCCTTCAGTCATTCTAGAGCAGAGAAGGTGTCTCCATGGCGGCCTTCAGTCATTCTAGAGCAGAGAAGGTGTCTCCATGGCGGCCTTCAGTCATTCTAGAGCAGAGAAGGTGTCTCCATGGTGGCCTTCAGTCATTCTAGAGCAGAGAAGGTGTCTCCATGGCGGCCTTCAGTCATTCTAGAGCAGAGAAGGTGTCTCCATGGCGGTCTTCAGTCATTCTAGAGCAGAGAAGGTGACTGCATGGCAGCCTTCAGTCATTCTAGAGCAGAAACTGTGTCTCCACTGCGACCTTCAGTCATTCTAGAGCAGAGAAGGTGACTGCATGGCAGCCTCCATTCATTCTAGAGCAGAGGTGAATATATGTTTCCAGAAAGAGAAGATGTCACCAGAAGACCCTGGACGTCTGCTGGGCCGCGGATGTGAACTAAGTAGAAGGACTGGGAGAGGCCTCCTAGTTGAGCATGGTAGGGATGGAATTATAGGAGAGAAAGATCCCTTCTCACCCAGGCTAAGTACTTCATATTTGTCAGGTTTTCATTTCCCTAAGCCCCCAAATCCCTAAATGGAAGGTGCTAATAAGCTGTTGCAAAAATTGAAGCATTATACCAGTTTTTTCGGCAGCTTTTTATATCCAGGCTCTTAAGAGCCATTTCTGAGCAGGAGTCTGGTGAAATCTTTTTGCAGAGCATTAGTGCAGAAGAAACGACAAATATTTCAAGCAAGGAAAGGGTTCTTTGCAGGCTGGGTTTTACTTACTATGAATTCTTTACAACTCACAGCTTTTGCATCCGAGCCTTCCTTTTTCAGTCTCCCAAAGGAATTAACCAGAACCAGAGATAACTCTAATCCAGCGTTTCTTGCCCTTTGCACCGTTAAGATGTCTGGACTCGAAGGCCCCACATCTCAAAGGTGCCAAGGTTAAGAAACTCACTGCTCTAATCGATACGTTCCTGGTTGGGCCAACTCAGTTAGCATGCGCGCGCGCGCGCACACACACACACACACACACACACACACACACACACACACACACACCAGTTGATCCACTGTTTCCCACCCTGCCTTCCAATCTAAAGCTGACACACAGCTATTCTGTTCAGTGGGGCTCTCTTGCAAGGAAAGGTGCATTGGACAGAAGAGACACATTTCGCTAGGTAAAGTCTTTCGGCTTCGTCTCTCTTTCTTTCTTTCTTTCTTTCTTCTTTCTTCTTTTTTTTTTTTTAATTTTCCCTGCCTGTTGGCTTGGCTTGGTTGCATGTTTCTGGGTTTTGCTTTTGAGTGTTGTATTTTTGCGGTGTTGTCTTTCCTGTTCTCTGTGATATATTCTAATTTATTCATTGTGTGGAACCCATCACACATTGTGGCTTAACATTAATGTTTACTCTTCCTATGAAGGAATGAGAGAGAAACAGATTGCTATCTTGGCAATTACATTCCAGGTGCCCAGAGTAATTCAGAAAGCCATAAGATTTACCACTGATTTATGTAGTGGTTGGGTTATGTCTGACTTGAAAGAAAATGCTCAGCTTCTGGCTTGGACAGATCAGGGATGGGGAAATCATTTCAACCCCCCCACCCCCATCCCCACCCCCACCTTCGCCCAAGGATGCTTTTCTGTTTATGATTAGCTGATTCCTCCGTGTGGAGACAGTTTTCACCACCCAGCTCTCTCTCTCTCTCTTCTCTCTCTCTCTTCCCTCTCTCTCTCCCTCCCTTTCCTCTCTCTCTCTCTCTTTCTTTCTTTCTCTCTCTCTCTTCCCTCCCTCCTCCCTCTCTCTCCCTTTCCTCTCCCTCTCTTTTCTCTCTCTCTCTTCTCTCTCTCTCTCTTTCTTTCTTTCTCTCTCTCTCTTCCCTCCCTCCCTCTCTTCCCCTCCCCTCTCTCTTTCTTTCTTTCTTTCTCTTCCCTCCCTCCCCCCCTCTCTTTCTTTCTTTCTTTCTTTCTGTCTCTCTTCCCTCCCTCCCTTTCTTCCCCTCTTTCTTTCTTTCTTTCTTTCTTTCTTTCTTTCTTTCATTCTTTCCTTCCTTCCCTCCCTCCCTCTTTCTTTCTTTCTTTCTTTCTTTCTTTCTTTTTCTTTCTTTCTTTCTTTCTCAGACAGACTCATTGGGGCTGGAGTTTATGTTCACAGGGATGGGGGAGCCGCGTGGCCCGGGAAGCTCTTTCACGATGTTCTTCTTTGGGTCTTCTTCTCAGGCCTGTTGATGTGACGTGGTTAAGAGTCGACGATGAGATGCCCCAGCACGTTTTGGTGTCAGGGTCAAACCTCCACATTGACAGCCTAAACAAAAGCGATAACGGCACATACCGTTGTGAGGCTTCCAACCAAGTGGGGACGGCCTATTCTGATTACACGCTTTATGTATACGGTACGTGAGACCAGCACGTCTTTCTTCCAGATGCCTTGATGCCGAATTGCTCTCGAGGTCTTTGGGGAGGGGGCATGGTGTCGGCAAATAAGCCGCCTTTGGCTGGGGTCAGCTGCCTTCCTTGGACCCAGGCCCAGCATGAGCACATTGTGTTGAAAGCGTAACTGGAACGAAGCCGGTTAGCTTCTTCCTTGTTCCTTCCTTCCTTCCTTCCTTCCTTCCTTCCTCCGCCTGACTCCGGGGTCACCTTCTCCTTGCACCGAGTAGACCAGTCCTGCCCTTACGGTTTTGCTAGTGGGAGGAGCCGTCCCAAACAAAGGAGAAAAAAGGCTTGGGCTGGAGGTGGGAAACACTCCCGTCTGGCAGGACAAGTTCAGCCATGTCTCCAAACTTATTTTATTGAAGTTGTGTAAACTGTGAAGGAAACCGAGAAGGGGGTGGGGAGGGGAGGATTTTTGTTTTAATGTTTGAACCACAACTCCTCAGGTCACCAGCTGAGAATGCCACCGGGGCACAATCTAGGGGAACACAGCCCCATTCTGTCAATCTTTCGCAACCAAAACCTCTCTGAAAACTGCTCTATGCCGCTCGGCTATTTCCTTTCCTTTGACCAGGCCTTCACGCTGGGCATCAACAGCCATAAACTCGGGCCCCCGAGCAGAACCCTGGATCTGCTTGCAAATGGGTTCAGCCCTGTCGAGAGTCTGGTGGGTTGAAGGAAGGCCACGACAGCCAGCCCCTCGGTGACAGAGAGGGCACATTGACTCCGAAGCCCGCAAATGAAAGCAGGCCCTGCAGCCCCGAATGGCAGCGGCTGTTGTCGGAAGTCCCGTTCAGTGAAATATCACAATGGAAACTCAGGGAATTAGTTGACCGAGCCAGCTCAGCAGGAAATGTGAAAGCTTAGGTAATTGAGTGGAGGCATTACAAGCATCCTTCCTCTTCCCCCCTTTGAACTCTTCCCTCCCCACGCCTGCTCTGGCCCCCAGTGGTACTCCCTGCAAGAATTCATCTTTCTAGTGATTCATACGGAAGCTTCCTCTGTGCTCCAAGCCAAGGAGCCAAGTTGTTCCTCTTGCGGGCCAGTAGAAAGCTTCCATCAGTCAACCCATAGCAAGGCCTTCCCCTCCCAGACCATTAATGGTCCACCATTAATTACTGCCTTTAATCAGAATAAGCGTGTGTGTGTATAGAAAATGGGTGAGAAACGTAGACTCACCATTATAGAGAGAGACGTTATCTGATTGCAGGTGTGGACAGGTAGACATCTTCGCTAGTGGTGCCAAGTTTTGGAAAGCTGAGAGCATTTTGGTGTAGTCAGCCCTCTGGTTTCTCTGAGGAACTTTTATATTCTAAAAAAAACACACACCTCTTCTTCCTGTATGACTGAGCTTCCAGGTGTTCTCTAACTTTCCCAATGAAACAAAGGACCTTGGATGATCCAGGATCAGTGTTCAGGAGTAGACCCTGGTTGGGCCAGGAAGATCAAGAAGAAGGACAGGTTAGATGAGACACTCTCCTTACAGGGTTGGGCCCCCTCTTCTTTTAAGACCCAAATGGAATCATCATCATTCCTGCCCAAATTGATACCTCTCACGGGAGCTGACCAGGTGCTGTCCTTTCTGTGGTTCCTCTGGAAAAACCAAGCAATCCCAATGGCAGAGCAGTTGTTGAATCCCAGAGGAATTGGTAACCGAATGAAGCCATGCTTAAATTTCCAGATCAGTCTCCTGGCCTGCTCTCCTGCATCTAAAACACGATAGACCAGCGCTGGTCTCCCTTGGCTAGAAGTCAAGTGTGGATTCCAAACCCAAATCTCTTGCTGGCTTAGTTTTTAGGAGAACCCTTCCTGGTTGAGGGTCAGCTGGGCAGAAGGTGACATGCCTGGCATATCTGAATGACGATCGGCATCCCTACTCTCTCCAAACAACGACGGGTCAGGTCAGCCACTCCAAACTGGTGCTTTTCACATGGGCTGGAAGTTGAGTTCTCTAGAGTTTTCAGCCAACTTGGCTGCTGTTGGCCAACTTTGTTCTTGCGTGGAGAAGTCAGAGATCCTGGACCTCAAGACATCTCAGTACCTTTTCCCTTTGATCTCCTTCTATGCTTGATCAGCTGTCTAGAATAAATATATTTCACTGCCTTTTGAGTAGGAAAATGGTGTTTCTCAAAACACCTTTTCCTGGAGGAGATCATAAAAGGATCCTCCTTTGCAAATAATCTCGCAAGAGGATATGATTTCCTTGATGATCTCCTGTATCAAACCATGGATCACAATGGTCCCAAGCAACAGAAAGACAGCAGAGAACCTTGTTTACCAAACAAGGATGATCCCTGCCAGTTGCCTAAGAGAGATAACAAGCTACTGTTGTGTTTGGCTCTTGGACTCATACCCAGGGGGTAAATTTTCCTGGGCTCCTTTCCATTCTGGAAAATTGTGGCCTTCTTCATCATGGAAGAGACAGAGAGTCCGGTCCTGGTGCACATATCCCAGTGAAATCAATAGCAGAACTGCCGTTTCCAAACTCATCCTCAACCATAAACCATCCAGATGCTGTTTATATGGAAAGCAGCTGTGACCTGGAGCAGCAGCCTGGCTTTGGAGACCACCATCTTGCTGCAGATGAATGCGGCCACCTTGTAAAACGAGTCTTGGCACATTTGTGTGGGAGCTGATTTAGGGACATAGAAGAAATAGATGAAAATGGGGCCTCTGTTTTGATCCAAGATCAAACTCAAGAGGGCCACCTGTGTTGTGTGCTGCTGCTGGGTGTCCCAGAGGCTTTGGAGGCTGATTGCTGGAGTCAGATCAAGCAGGGCAGCCTCTCTGAAACCGGACTCCAGGAACAAAGCCACGGCCTTCCCAGATGGTCCAGTCCTTTAATTTGGTGCCCAAAAGGCCTCCAAAGGGATCTCGAGAGGGTTGGGCAGCCAAACGCCGCTTCCTCAACAGCCCTGCATCCCGGCTACATCTACGCCCTCCTGAAGAAGTTGTGCCAAGCACACAATAAAGGTGAAACGCATAATTCAAGTTTGGATTTATTAATTAGAAAATCGGAGAGCTCTCTTGAAGATAAAAGAGCAGTAGATGTGTCGGTGATGAGAAGTTTGACATGCTTAAGATAAAACTTGAAATCAAAAGCCTCCGAACCGTTTCAAGCTCCATTACTGACGATTCGTTCCCAAGTTCAAAGTCGGGTGTTGTGCTTAACACATTCAGTTTGATCATTTGGGCAGCGAAATGTGGCATTTCCTCTCCCCACCCCCCACCCCAGTGTCTTCTCTCCCTCTCCTCCCTTCTGTCCTCCATCCAGAGGAACTCGGTAGGCAGTCAAGAGGCCGCCAGTTCTTTGCAAACGTTGGGTGCCCTTAGGAGAGATCGTGGCTGGCATTTACAGGCCAACCACCTTCTAGACCCAAGGGCCTTTTCTTCCCTTCCCTTTTGTGGTCCGAAAGCAAAAGGGGAGAATCCCCCTTTATTTCCACCCACTGGAGGGTGAAATGTACTAACCAGAAGAAAAATGCCCGAATCCTGGGCTGGGTATGAATATTTATAAGTCCCAAAGACATTGACTTTATGTTAAAAGAAATCTCACTAAAATCTTCCATGCATCCAACTTGATATTTAGTCGTGACATTCTCGTTCCCTTTTGTATTTATTACTGGCTTAGAAGTAGTTTTATATCCTGCTGGGATGGCTTGATGGAGGGGGGAATAATGAAGTTAACTGCTCTGGAGAAAGCAGAGAGGAAGAGGGGCAGGCTTATTTGGTGTTGATATTTGCTCTGCTAAATACAGCGGGCGAATGGGGGGGGACTCTGCCCGCACCCGCTCGCCTGGCCCCTCTTTTGCAGATGTCAAAGCACCAACCGAAGAAACCAAAAAACTAAATGGTGCAAACAGCCCTCCTTCCTGTGGGGAGCATGCAAGCTCAGTGGGGTCTTTCTCTGGTGGGTCCTGGAGGAGGGCCATTCCATGCGGTCTTGCATCTGTAACTAATTTTTGTGTTCCATCTCCTCTCCATCTCCCCTCCCCCCCGCCCCCAATCTCCCTATCCCGGGTGGGAGGGGCGGGGAGTGGGGAGGGCTGTTGGATCTCACCCACCCCAACCAAGCAAGAGCTGCATCGCCCGTCACCCTCTGGCCACCATGAGTGACGGCAGGACCAAGCCAAGCTGCTAACCGCCATCCTTTCGTTCGGCTTCTTTGTTGATTTGTTGATCATTTTTGTGTTTTGTTGATCATTTTTGTGTTCTGCTCATTTCTTTTTAATTTGCTTTTTTTTTTCTGTTTTCTTTTTCTTTGTTTATGTGTTTTTTTTTATCTAGATCTTCCCACAACTCTCCCTCCTCCCACCACCACACTTTCCACCATCATCACCATCACCACCAACATCGCCGCAGGTATAGTACCTTCCCCGGCCCTACGGGTCGAAGCCTCCAGGTGTTGCTGTGCTTTCCCTAAGGAGGGGACCGGGGGAGGGGCGTGTGGAGGGGAGGGGCTGCAAAAGAGAGAGGAGAAGGCTTCTTTCCAATTCCGTTTATTCCTGAGTTATTTTGGTGTTGTTTGGTTTTTTTCCCCCCTCGCCTGGGTAATGAGTTTGGGAAGTTGGCAAGCTGGCAAGGGGCTCTTTAGCGTCTGCATCATCCTCCGCAACAGAGGCAAACGTGGCTGGAATCTTTAGGGTACTGTAGTCCGTAAGTGGATGTGACCAACTTTGGCTCAACCTGAGTTCTGCTTTTCTTTCTTTAAAATACAGAGACCTGGTTCTCCTTTTCAGCTCTGGTCCGCAGGCCTCACTCTTCATAAAGACAATTAATTTGACTTTTGGTTTCCATGCAACTACCTCAGCCCCTGCAGCTGCCAGCCCCGTTGCACCCAAGATGGCTGCTATGCCACCCTTTCGCTCAGCACCTTGAAGCCCCACCCTGACCCTTCCCAGGCATCATCCTGAGCCACCCTTTGGCCGCCACGCACCTGCCTTTCCCAGGGCAATTGTCTCCGCTCCAGCTGATCACCTGAGAGTAGCCATATCCCACCTCCCTCGTCCCATCCCGTTCCCCCCCCGCTCCGGCTCTTCTGTTGCAGGGGTTTCTCTTCTTCTTCTTCCCTCTTGGGCTCCTGGGCAGAAGTGGACTTGTGGATCGAGTCCAGCACGGGAGGCGAGATTGTGCTCTTCTCACTTCAGAAGCAGCCCGCGTGACTTCCACCTTGCTTCACCTGGCAGTCTTTGGCCTTCTGTCTATCTGTCACGATGCTCTCATCCCTCTCCTAGAACACACATGCTCTGCTTTCTCTGAGGACACTCAGAAATGTTGGGTCTACTGAAATAACAAAACCTTTCCTCTCCTCTCCATGTGCCTTAACCCTCATTTTTTCTTGTGTTGACCGTCACGTATTTTGCCTCATTACAATTTTCTCCTTCCAGACTCTTAAGAAAGCCGGTACCTTGAGTCCTTGTTTGTGTGGCTTATTTATTTCCACAGTTGTATAGTCGTAGGGTCTCGCCTACTCCGTGGGTTGCTCAGTGGTGTCGATTCCAGGTGACCTTTCACCCCCTCCAAGGAGCAGATCAAAGGCAAGCGGGGCGGAGGGGGCATAAAGTCAGCATTCCTCTCGTCATGCTCACATCTGACCATATGAAAGAGCTTCATTAATTTGAATTAATGCTGTGTGCCTTTTGGTGTCTTGGGGTGCTAATTTGATGACTGGGAGAACTTGCAAGTGTGAGAATTCCTGCAGCCTCAGTGTGCTCTTCCTGAAAGCAACCCAAGGAAACTGCCTTCGGTTGGGTCACAGTGTCCCGCCGTGTGCCGGTCGCTCTCCTTCCCAGCTCATTGCTCTTAATTGTGCTCCCTGAGCTGCAGAAGGAGACGGGCCCTTTTTCATTCCCGTTGATCATCCGTGAGACCGTCAGGCGTTTGGACTGACTCCTGAAAGCAAAATCTGGGAGGTTTCAGAAAATAATGTATGTGGGTCGGAGTTGGCTAGTAAATCAGGGGTGCTAATCTCAAAGTCAGAGGCTTTAGAAAGGGAAGATGGGATTAGGAATAGTTGACCTTGGTGGAGAAGGATTCAGCTGCTCACCAAGAGAAGAAGTCCAGCCTCAGCAGAGCAAGGGGTTTGACTCAAGACCAACTCTGGCCTCTTGGGCCAGGTGGGGTTGGGGAGGACATGGGCTGGACAGCCCCTGCCTCTTTTTCTCTTACTCAGTATTTTGTTGAACTACCTTCGGCCGGACTCTCTACTCCCCTGAAGCCTGTGGTGTCCCCCCAGTCACAGCTCTACAGTCCCAGAGCAGAGCCCTGACCTGGTTGTCCCAGGATCTGAGGAGTCCTTCCAGCTGTGGTGTCCTCAACCAGAGCATGTGCTCCGAAGGGTTTATTTGGGGAGATTCAAGATCTATGGTAGAAGGATCTACAGACGCCAACAAAAATACTCTTTTCCAAATGGGCCGTAGGGCACCTTCCTCTGTTTCTAAGATGAGAGATATCCCCTTTTTTACCTGCTCAATTTGCTTCTCCTCACCTGAGAGCCCTCCTCTCTGCCAAGACGTTCCTTTCACTACATTTTCCCCTCTGACTTTCTGTGTGTGATGAAGATACGCTTTCCCTCCCATCTCTTAAGCTCGATTCCTCCTGAGCTGGTATGTCGCTTAATTTTGTTGCCAGATTGCTGCTGACAGACGCTAATCTTCTTTGTAGAGGGTTTGTGCATCTTCCTTCTCCTCGTTTCCCTGTTTCTCTTCCTGCTGTGTGTCACCTGCAGCCACAGAGACGAGACAAATAGGCCCTTTTGTGTTGCCTGAATGGGGCATCTTTCCTATCTGTGGAATCCAGTCTCCTCTTACAGGTTCCCCTGGGCTTTGCGTGTTTGTGTGGGCGCCCAAGGGTTTGGCTATCAAGGGGGAAGAAAGGATTAATTCAGTGAGTTTAAGCTAATTGATTCGGCATAAATTTGTCCTTGGTGGAAAGCACTATTCCTGAATCCAGAAGCCTGTTTTCCTCTTTAGGAGATGCCTCCTCTAGATAGCATGGAAGAGGCCTTCCTCCCGTAGGAAGAAGGAGGAGATGCTTTTCTAGAAGACTGGGCTGGACCTCTGCAGCAGGGACCTCCAACCTTGGCAACTTTACAGCATGTGGACTTCAACTCCCAGGATTCCTCAGCCAGCTTGGCAACCTTAAGACTTGTGGACTTCAACTCCCAGGATTCCTCAGCCAGCAAAGTTGCCCGGGTGGGAGACTCCTGCTCTGCAGAAGGTGCATTCATGCCTTTCCCAAGATCTGCTCCTGGCTCCAGTTCTGCTCGACAGCTCAGGTTTCCTTTCCCCACTTGGAAGACTCCAGAAGAGCCAAGAAGCCAGTGGGAGGGTCTGGCGGAAGAAGCCAGAGGGTGGTGGGCCACCCTTTGCGTTCCTCTGAGTAGACCTATTGGAAGAGCCTGCAGTGTGAAAGGCAGGGAAATGCAAACCAACCTTCTTGATTTGGAATTGATAATTGAATACTGCTCTTCACGGACAAAAGAGCATGAGACGGTTGTACCTCCCAGTTATGGTTGCAGGAATCTCGTTGTCTGGAGTCCTTAGTGCTCTCTGACCTTTGTTTCCTTGCCATTGTTTCATTACCCAACTAGGTAACAACCTCAGTGCTAGAAGGAGTGGGGTTTGCTCTCTGTTGATATATCATAGCTTGCCCTGTCGGTGTTGGTGGGGCTGTTCTTGCGGGTTCCTTGATTAGGTTGTTAAGGAACCACCAAGAACACTCCCACCAACCGACAGGGCAAGCTATTTATATATTAAAAGCAAGCAAATCCCACTTTTACAACTGATGATGTTACCTAATAGGGTCATAAAACGTCTGCCAAACAACCCAGCTCAGAGGGCACCAAAGACATTACAGTTCAACCCTGAGCTTGAAAGACTGTCTTCTGTTGGTAGTTGGTCATGGAATTCCCTTTTAAACACTCACCCACCCATTCCCCTTCCCCCCAAAAATCTGTCCCAAAAGGCCCCTTAGTCTTCAGCCCGTACGGCTCCCATCTCAAGGATCTGTCCATCTTCTTCCTTCCTCCTTTCAGCCCCAAAACGCTCTTGTTGCAACTCACCACCTGGTGCCGAGGCGCAGTTAAGCTGAGATTGCCACTCGAGCAATTTTGTCAAATCCCCTCTTTTGACGGATAGGATCTCGCCACGTTGCTGTGTCTTAGTAGACAAGCTGTGTATGTATTTATCTTATCCGGAAGCCTTGATATCGCCCGCCTGGAATTTAACTTAGGCTCTCTCTCTCTCTCCCTTCAAACAGAGGAAAGGTGAGGGGACCCAATGCTGACCTCCTCCTTTTTGTCTGCCAGGGAGTGGGTGGCCTGCTTAAATTTGCTTGGGTGTATTATCTCCTGTCAAATGGCTACAGAAATGAATTTCTGTGGCACTCGGAGCCACCCATTAGCCTTAAAAGCCTCCACAGGCAAACACCGGTGATTAAGTGCCAGCATAAAACTCCGGGAGTCTATTTTCTTCTCCTGTGCTAAAGGTTTGCATAACGGAAACCATTCTCCAAATGAAATTAGCATAATTACCCACATTTTATGCAGGACTCGCTAGGAAGAACGCTTGCCTAAAAGCCTTGCAGGTCCGCTGCCGCTCTTACCTTCCCGTGCAGCCCCCTCCCCTTTATGCACAAAGCGTATTGTCTAAAGACCCAAGTAGGAACTCTCATGCATTCATCCCAGTAAGGCTGAACCTTGGATTTTCTCAGGCGCTTCATATGGATCCGATCTGCTGCAGGAGGGATCTTAGGGATTTCCCTTTCAATCCACAGGCTCCCAATTGTCCAGGTGATCATCGCAAAGGGGCAAACAACCCTGCGAATTGACTTAACAACTGGCAAAATGCGATCAGAGCATTGGATAGAGGTCACTTAACAACCACAGTGAAAGTTCCAGTCCCAGTTGCGGTCGTAAACCAAGGACTACCTTTTAATGTCCTGGATTTCCTCAGGAAGTGACCCCTTTGTTAGGACTTCGGAAATAACCAAATGTCAACCAGTCCCCCCCCTCTCCCCCCCCCCTTGGATAAGGCACATCACGTCCTCTTCTCTGAGAGTGCTGTTATTGCGTGGTGCACAATGGAGCGAAGTCGCCAGCACCGTTTCACAGATTGTGGGGAAAAGATTTAGTTCTCACCAGTTATTTATTCTCTTCTTTGGCTGCTTGTGCCTCTGGTAAAATGTCAAGTTAATTTAGCGTGGTCCCTGCGATTGCCTGACCTTTCCAGCCTCTCTGCAACCACATTAAAAGGGAGGAGCTGCCCTCCCTCCCTCCCAAAGCGGCGAAGTTTCTGCCGCTGAGCTTGGCTGGCGCCCAGGAAGGACATCTTGTCTTCTTGCGTTGAGACGTGTGCAGGTTTTGTGTCCAGCCTGAAATCAAGTGTTGCATCTGAGAAGGGCTGCCAAAAGTTTGGGTCAGCCATAGCTCATCAGAAGCAAAACCCAGAATGTTTTAGTCGTTCCGGTTTTGGCTGGAATGAAATCTGGAGGGATTTGGTGGGAGAACTTTGGTAAAACTGGAACAGGCCCTTCCTTCTCTCCCTTGCACAGTCCGTGCCCTGGCCTCTGGATCTTCCCAGCCCTTCTCTGCCTTCCCTCTCTGCCTCCCATCTTCTTCTCCAAGGAAGCCCTGGGAGCTGCTCCCAGCCTCCTCCTGCCCAGAAGGACTCAGCTTGGTCCACCTCCATCTTCTCTATATATGGACCCCACATCCAAACCACACATTTCAGTGCCTACACAGACCACCCCAAACCCAGTGATTCCATGCTGACCACAACTCCTTGCTTTGCATCCCAGGAGGCCTGACTTGCCTTTTGCTGTTCTCCTAGATGCTCCCGTGTAGCTAAGAAGGCTCTCCACCTTCAGGGGCCTCCAATGCTCTGTCAGCAAAAGGGAACCCACCTGGATCCCCTTGGGAAGCCCTGCTTAGCGCAGCAAATGCAAATTGCCCTGATATTCCCCCCCTGATTGAGGGGGGAAAACAAAGAGCTGAGCAAGGCTTCATTGCACGGGTGCTTATGCAGGAGACCTTTGATTAAACCGCTCTTCGGAGGTGTGTTTCTTGCTGATGCAAGACTCTTTCCATTTTGCCAGGGAAGGAAGCCTGGGAGGAGAGCAGAGAAGGGTGAAGCATTAAATCGCAGCCCCCTGTGCGCTGCCGTGCTTCAAAGAATAACAACAATAATTTGCTCCACAAAATTTCTAAACGGATCCTGATTATTTTTACAAAACATCCAGTCTCAAGGGGGTTGTGCAAACCGACCACTCTCTCGACGGACTCCTGTGACTTGTCTTGCAGCTCTGCTGGTCTCCATCCCTCTTCTTCTTCCTCTCTCCAGTTCTTGTGTGGCTCTGCCTGTTCACGTTCTGGTGTGAACTGAGCCATTCTTGAGTTTCCCTGAAACGTAATCCAGAACGAAGGCGAAATACGAATGCAGGTTTCCAACCACTCTTTACAATCACAGGAACGTAGTTCCATCCTGTTCTGCTTCTAAGAAACTTGGGTGGGCTCCAGATTTTCCATCTTGGGTGCTGCCCAATTTGAAACAAAAATACGGTATATTGCAGTCTTGGATCTGAAATCCAGTAAGATAAATAAAATTTAATACATTGTGAATTATTCAATAATGTTCATATGTAAGCCGAGTTATCTCTGCCGAAAGTCATTTTGTTCTGTCACGGTGATCTTCCTGTGGCATCGAGCCCCAGATCTTGAGAAGGAAACTTGGCTCCGTGTCTGGAGTCTGCCCCCATCCCCCTCAGCGTGGGCCTTTTCTGGGATCCGGCCGATGCCTCGTCCTGGGGCTGGTGGGGGAAAACAGGGGTGGGCAACTGAAGGCCAGGCAGTTTTTCAAGGCCGACTCCTTTTATCCGATTTCTAGACGCCAGGCTTTGCCTGTGCAAACTTTTAGGGCATTTATTAAAAAATGTGTCCTTGGGTTTTCATTTTCATTTTAAAAATCCATTCTGCGAGAGACTGTGGACTAATTTTATGGATTAGTTTTTAAACCCTCAGTCTGTCACATTCAGTGAACAATTTTAAGTTGGAGAGAAGCCATCTGAATAGATCAAACTCTGCCGCAAAGCAGGTTCAGCTCCACCGTTTCCCATGAATATTGCTAAGCTGTCTCGGGGCGTGTGGGGAGGGGGGATGGCGGGGGGGGAGGGCTTGTTAGTGATTTCCTCTTCACAACCTAGTTAAAAAAAATGATCTGAAAGGCCTGGACCCTTTTCCCACTTCGGTGTTGCGTAGTTGGATGGAGAAGGTAGAAACCCACCTGCCCCCTTAGGTGGAGTCCCAACAATTACTCTGGAATTGGGTTTTGAACTGTTTCTTGGTGCTCTTTCCAAAGACTGAAATGGGTTTTGCACTTCAGAAGGAGCGGGTGGGCGGGTGTGTTGCTGGAAAGTGCCTTATGCGGGTTTCTCCCTTAGCGCCTCCACCTCTTTCGCCAGGGAAAGGCAGCATTGAAGTAGGAAGGCTGTAGCAGAGGCTGCCTTGCCCAGAGAGGCCGGGGGCCCTTTTATCAACTCCGCTGCTCGCTGTGGCTCATCCACCCCCCCGCCCCATCTAATCGCAACTTTGCCATTCCAGCTGCAGCCAACATGATGTTGTTTGACTTGGAATATTTGTTCGCCTTAACCGCTTGAAACTTTTGTGTTCCATTTTTGTTTGTTTGTCTCCTGCTCTGTCCCTGGACGGGAAAAGCGAGCTGCACTGTGGGCGCGGAACCAGGCTCCTTAACCGATCCTCTTTTTCCAGCGCACGGACGGGGGTCCTGATTCCTGCAGGGTTTGGCGCCTCCTGCAGCCACCCAGGAGGGCACACGGGGTTCCTTACGGAGACGCCACCAAATGGCAGAAGAGAAAGGCCCAGCTCAGGCTGACTCAGCTGGGCCAAGCCCTCCGTCTTGTCCCCACCCCACACCTGCACACGAGCTTCCGGGTGCCCTTCCTAGGAAGGCCTTCTTGCGCAGGCCATGGTGGTAACAGAGGGCCAACCTCCTCAAGCTTTCTGTGTTGCTTGCGCTGCCCTGGGGTAGTTTTGATGCTCCCCGTGTAAGAACATCTCCTGATGTCCTTCAAAAGGCGTCTGTGAAGGAAGGGGGTCTCAGACCACTTGTAGGTGAATTGCAGTCACCCCACTTTGGGCCAGATGCCTCTTGCAGTCGTGCAGGAGAGGTGGTTTTCTGTCAATGTAAAACATATTAGAAGGTTCCATCTGTAAGTATGATGCCGCCTGGCCCTGCCCCACCAGCACTGGGGTGGTACAGGTATTCCTTTATTTTGTCCTGGCCCCTGCTCTGGGGAGCCCAGCCCTGGCTGCAAGAGGAAAGGAGCCCGGACTTTCAGCCAAGTGGGAAGGTCGACTGTGCCCTTGCTTTCCAAAGTGGGAGGTCGTTTGTAGTAGGCTCAGTTGTGTGTTGCAGCGCTTTGCACAAAGGTGTCCTTTTGCCATTTCAACATTGCCTCTGCTGGCTCGAGAAAGCCTCTGGGGGTCCCTCAGCGGGTCCTTGGGTCTGCACCAGGGAATTAGGATTGTGTCGGGTGACAATGTCACCCAACAGAGCTGCATCGAGAGAGCGGAGATGCTGCTGAAGACCCCCGTGGTGGTCTCCGCTGCCGAAACAGTCCATGCCGTGTCCGGCTTCTGCTGTGATGCTTTAGGACCTGGGTGTCAGAGAGCAGAAGGATGGGCTGACCGGTCAACATGGCAGGCCAAGGCAGCACTACCTCCGGCATAAAACTTTGAGGTTGAGCAAAGTCCAGTCAATCTTTGGGGTTGCTCCTCTGAGCCCCAAAAGAGATACAGGCCTATCCGGAGGGTGGGTATCGGGGGGGAGGGCTGGTCCCTGGAGAACAAAGCCCCTGCGAAGGGCTGTATTGTGATCTTGACACCCCAAGAGACACTCACAGTTATCTGATCCCCTTCCGCCTGGCTCTCAGAAATGTCTTCCGCTCACCGACACCCACCCTGGGGGAACAATGTGTGTGTATGTTGGTGTCCAAACGGACTTGTCATTTTTAACAAGCAGGCATAGCCTTCTGGCCCTGCTCCGTTTGGCCAGCCACAGCAATGGGGAAACGGCGAAACGCTGGAGAGCGGAGGGGGCGGTTTTCGCAGAGCCCCTCTCTTCTCCCTCTGCCAAGATGGCGCCTGCTCGTTCTGCTGTCTCCCTCCATCATCTCTGCATGGTTTGCTGGAGGCAAAGCTCCTCTCCCGCCACAGCCCTGGATTTCCAATGGCAAGAAGGCAGCGGTGGGTGCCTTCCCGCCCTTCCTGCGCCTGGGGAAGGGGACGGAGGCCGTGGACCCTCCAGCAGTCACGCACAGAGGGAGGCCCCACCCGCAGAGGCAATGTTTGAATGTACGAAGCCTTCAGAGGACTCCCACCCCCACCTCTCCTGTCTCAATCTGGAGCTGCTTTCGGCTTCCCTGGGGGGAGCAGGGGTCTCTTCAGCTTTGCATGCACCCCGCCAGAAAGCAGTGCCGATGCCAACCTCTGGATGCCAGGCAGCCCAGGGGTCTTTCCCCTCCCCCTCCCCCTCTAGGCTCCCGGCTTAAAAGCGCAAGGCATGACTCTTAAAACAGTGCAACTCACTTCAAATGCTTTGGCCTTTCATTTTATGATTGCTTGTCACGCAATGTTCTTGGAAAGCTTGCTCTCATATATGATCTGTTCCATTTTTTTTCCATTTCCCTTTTTTGCATGCTGTACCTCCTGTTTCTTCCCTTCCTCCAAACTCTGTTCCCGTGTGTAGACACAACGGCGGCGACAGAACCGGCAGCTCACGGTTGGTATTGCATTCCTGTTTTCTCTTTTCGCTGGGCTGAGCTAAGGGGGCAAGGCAAGCCTGGGAGAAAAAGGAGGGCGAGGAGCGGGGAGGGGCCGAGAGGAAATTGGGGCAGGGGAAAACCACCTTTCCAGAAGGGCCGGTCTCAGAACCTCTCCTGGCTTTTAAGGCCTGAAAGGGGCCCCCAGTTTGGCCCCTTCTGCGTGCATTTAATTGCATTCCACACAACCACTTCCCCACATCTGCAGAAGCATCAGGATAGATCAGAGCAGAAAAGGGACCAGGTCCCCACTTCTATGTTTAATACCCTCTCTGCATGTCTCGGGGATTTCGTGAAGTGGGCCAGAGAAGCGTGAACCTTTCATATCCCCAAGACAGAGGCACAGCCTGAATCTTTCAGCAGAGGAGGCTGCCTCACACGTGTTGCCATCCCTGGTTCAGGACCGATGAGTAAGGCAGGCTCTCTCTCGCCTCTTTCCGAAGTTGCCACACTGATCCTTGGACAGCTTCCTCCCCCGAGTGTCAAGGTTCCAAGTGGGATGACTGTTGGGGTCTTGGCCAGAGTGGAAAAAAATATTGGAGAAATGACTTTAATTCATTAAGTTGACGGTGCTTCAGTTGAAACAGTCCTCCCGATATTTATGGCTTAAAATGCTCCCCTTCTGTCTTAAGAGACACTGAGCTTGGCAGCTCATTAGAATAACTGTCGGGAAGAATAAAAGAGAGCATTGGTTGTTTATGTACAGGTTAAGAATCCTGATCAGACGCGGTAGAGTTTGTGCCTCAGCTGGTCCAGCAGAATTTCATTGCTGACTTCATCAGAAGCTGCCTTTATGCAGGTGGCTCGTCAGAGGAGGGCTGCTGTACTCCTCTAAGTAGTACATTTGCAGTACAGTAGTAGTACAAGATTAGAGATCTTGAAAATTAGCCTCGTTCTGTAGCAAAGCTCTGCTCTGCTTCTAAATGATGGCTCGTCCCCAATTTTATTTTACCAGGAAAGATACGTGTTCCGTGCATCTTGATCATTCAGTTGAAAGATTGAAAACTCATGAAGATTGCCAGGAGTCTTAAGCAGTCTTTTCCAATTAGCTGACCTTGCTCTGTGTTGGGAAACTGCCAGATAGGCTGGAAGGAGAGGTCAAGCGAGGACCTAGCTTGGAGTCCTTGCACAGGCACAAGCAGCATCAGCTTGACTTCCCCCCAAGATTCATGAAGCCTTATCTCGCCCTTCCCAGGGGAAGACAAGCAGTCTAGTGAGATCCTTGTAATGTAGGTTAGGCTAGACAATGAAGCTAATGATCTTCCTTATTCACGGGTGGTTGTTTGCATCAGACAGTTTGAGTGGAAATCCAGTAAAGTAGCCAATTATCTACTGTTGGACCAAAGTTTTTCAAGGTTTATCAGCAGAAAACAAAATTCCATAAGAGTCTGCAACTGTCTCTTGTGACCATCTCGGTATTATGGAGAAAGTGGGATGTTTCATTGCCTATTCCTTTTTGGAGTTATTGTAGCTTGCCCAATGCTGCTTCTTCCAGAGAAAGCCATTATTTCTTGAAGGGTTGCCATTATGTACAGCAGCACAAATTGTGCGATGTGATTGCCTCTCATTTGACGGTGCCTCACCATGTGAGCCACAGTGAGGTCCAGAATAGTTGAATAGTTTGCTTCCATCGTCAAAAGAGGAGACTTCCAACTTTGGTTTTTCAGCAACGGCAGAAGAATATTTCAGGTAAAGTTAAAAGAGAATAAAACAAAGCAAGTTAGAGAAGCACTGGGCCTGAGAAATCTCAGTATTGGGATTTTCAGTCTGTGTCATGAATCATTCTGGATAGTAAGGTAGGCGGCATATAAATAGATGGATCCATAACAACCAAGGTTGGTGTGATAGCTCAGCGGTTAAGATTCTGGGTTTGTCAGCTGGAAAGCCAGCAGCCCAGATTAGAGACCTGAGCGCCATACAACGGGATGAGCTCCCATCCTCGCCCCATCCTGCCAACCTAGCAGTTCGAAAGCACGCAAATGCGAGTAGATAAATAGGTACCACTTCGGTGGGAAGGTCACAGCGCTCTGTGATGTCATGCTGGCCACATGACTGCAGAAATGTCTTCAGCGCTGTTATTTACCTTTTTCGAAAGCCTCTTTGGGAGACTTCAATCCTGAGAAGCAAATCAGGATCAGATCCAAGGAAAAGGAGCAGAAAAGATTGCCTTTGTTTTGAGGTAGAGTCAGTTCTTTCCCAGTATCATTGGCCATCGTTCCATCACTCTCCAGTTTGCAAATTTACTTACCTTGCACTTTCTGCCTTAAAAAATGGGAGGGGGATTCCTTGAGACCCTCTTTAGCAAGGTGGCTCTTCCCCCCCACACACAGCTCCTCGCCGTCTCCTTCCAAGCTTGCATTGCCAGAGTGTGTCTGAAGTTGATCGGGTGTTTCTCGTGTGTGTTGGCCATTCTGTTCTGACCAGTGTCCAAATAAGCATCAGCATGTCTGTGGATGGGGAGAAATGCATGATGGGCATGGACCTCCCGTGGAACCCAGGGAGCTCCGGCCAAAGCAGCCCAGGTTAGAGGACGGTCCCAGAAGGCACCTGTTTCCAGAGTGTCTGGAAGGGAGCAAGCTGCTTGGCCCTGTCCCTTCCTCCTTCCCTCCCTCGCACCCTCCCTCCCTCCCTCTTTGGGGAACCTGTCCCAGAGAAGAGATGAGTTTGTAGAGTGCATGCAAGACTGCAGCCCCCCACTCCCACCCCCAGACCTTCTCTCACCACACGGGGCTGACCCACAGCAATGCATGGCAAGTTTAAAGCACGGAAACTTAACTCTTTCCTCTACCTAATGCCAGGAATTCCAAGCTTCCAGATTTCTGTATGTGTCTCTGCCCTTTCCCGGCTGCCTTCCTTGCCCCAGAACTCTGGTCCAAACATGCTCCGGACTCAGCTGCCCTTCCGAACTCTCCTCTCCTCTCCACTCAACTCTCCCTCATCTTTTCAGATGCCTTTTTGGACAAATTCACTCCCCCAGATCACTTGGAACAAGGAGACCAAGGCTTGTTTTTCCAGCCACTTCCCAGAACATACTTTGTATTCCTGGACAGGCCCAGTGGCACTTTCTCCCTCTGGAATGCTTTTCTTCTCTCTGCACACGGTGCTCATGTGCCCTTTATCCTCAGCCACCCCTCGGTGCCTGCCTGAGAACTGGAGAGCCCTTTCAAAGCCCAATCTGCATTTCAATGATACCAATGTTGACAAAGAGAGGAAATAGACCCGGAGCTCTCCAGAGCTCCCTGTGGCGAGACCAGGTGTAACCCCCCCAGGCAGGCAGCCTCTCTGCAGCCCCCTCCCCGCAATAAAAGTGGAGAAACCCTCTTAGGGGTGCTGGAGGGCCATGTGTTCCTCTCCCTCAATTACTCCCATTCATTGTGGCCTTTAGGAGAACCTGGCATCCCTCACAACTTCTTCCTCCTCTCCTAATGGTCCTAGCGTAGAAACTCCATAGTCTATAAATCCACACCATTTACAATTTAGTGCTCCAGCATGTTCAGAACTCCAATCTCCATGAAGGGAGTGAAGAAACTCCATGTCATTCTCAAAGCTGATGAAGCCAACTCAGAGCAGAAGACAGAGAAATGAAGTTCATGCTGTGAATTATGTTTGTGTGTGTAAAAAAACAAAACAAAACAAAAAATCGAAAATACCACAAATTGGCTTTTTTGCAGAAAACGGTCTTGAACCCAGCCCATTAAATTTCAACAGCTACAATAGGCCATAATAATGTCATAAACTGTCCTTTAAAAAAAGTCCATGCAAAAACGGGGAGGGGGAGGAAAGGTGCGGGAAAATGCTCTATCTATCCAATCAAATATGATTAAATAGTAACTTTGCAGCAGGATCAAGCAACTGATCACACGGGAAGATCCTTTAGAACAGGGTTTCTCAACCTTGGTGACTTTAAGTTGTGTGGCCTGCAACTCCCAGAGTTTTAGCCAGCTGTGCTAGAAGTTTATGCTCACCAAGGTCGAGAAACATTGCTCTAGACCAGTGTTTCTCAACCTTGGTAGCTTGAAGATGCTTGGACTTCAACTCCCTCTGGCTGGGGGATTCTGGGAGTTGAAGTCCACCCATCTTCAAGCTTCCAAGGTCGAGAAACACTGCTCTAGACTGAAGGCTGAATCCAAACTTAGTCAAACTGAAATGAGAATAAGCTGAAACTATTCACAGGGACCTTCTGCCAGCATCATTAATTCTGGGTTGAGGTGGTTGCATGCTGCCCTTGTTTATAGGCAAGAACTTCCAGAGCAGCTTAGAAGGCGATGGCTTAGGCCTGGCTTCCTGCACTTCACTTGAGCAGCTTCACGCAGAAAGGAAGGCGACATTTTGCCTTGCTCCGTCTAGGGCCACCTGCGGGTGGAGATTAAGTGGCGCTTCAGCTCTGCGGTGGCTTAAACTATAATGCCAAGCACCCACTTTGATTGGACATAACTCAATCCAAAGAAGAGGGAGCCATTGTTGCAATGTGGAGGCTGCCTGCTTGAACCATCTCTGACTCTTGATGTGTTGGGCAGATCTGTCTTCCTCCTGATTTCATGGCTTGGTTTGAAGAGCATGTGGAAAACGTAGCATGGGAGCTTTGGTAGAGCTTTAGCTGGCTCACCAACTGTGGCCTTACTTGAAAAGGGAGATGGCCTTGTTATCTCTAGATTAGGGTGATGGAATTTACTCTAATGAGGCTGCCCTTGAAGGCCTCCCGCACTAAAAAAAAACCCCTTCAGCTAGTCCAAGATGCTTCTTAATAGTCAGTCACACTATGGTCAGGTTACGCCTCCACTGTTGAAAGGTTTTGAGTGTAATTCCAGGTGCCGGTCACTATCTAGAAAGCCCTGTATGGCTTGGGGAAGGAATGTCTGCTAGGAGCCCCCACCTTCCAGGTGGTAGAGCAGGATGGAGCCTCCCCAACAGGTCTTCTCCATAGCAGCTGCTCTACTTCAGACTCCCATCCTCATGGCCATCTGGAACCCGGTGGAGATTTGGGTCTTCCAGTTGGCCTTCAGGAATTAAGTAGCAACAGAGGTACATACTCAGTAAATTTAACTCACATAGATTACTCCTTTAATTGATCATTACCCTGATTTGCATTGCATTTTATACCGTTATAAGCTGCCCCAAAATCCTGGTTTTAAATCTCAGAAGTGATTTTCTATTTATGATTTTTCAGCGATCACCTGATTTCTGCCAATCAAACCCTCCAGCCCCATAAAATTTTCATTTTTCCTATCGGAGCTATTCGAAAGGGGGGTCCCCTCCGCTCATTTACATTCAAGCTAAGCAGGGGCACCTTTATGTTCAGACGGATGTTTTGTCTGCTGGTGGCATCCCATCAAAGCCACTTTCTTATTTAGATGTTAACCAGCTGTTTTATATCCTGTCTGGAAACTTGAATAAGTGTATTTGCATTATTTAATAGCTCTGCAGACTTATGCCATAAACACATTTCAGGATAATATTTTCTTAATTTTTGATTTAAATTTTTAAAGGAAGGAAAATTGATCGCTGCTCTCAGATCAATTCTGGAAGCAAGAGGAATCGTGCTGGGCAAATACATATGTGCAGAAGGAAAACTGTTTTCTCATTTCAGTCCAAAACTCCCTGTTCGGCTGATTTTCACTTCTTTAAATCCATATGGTAGAAGGACTGTAAGCAGGAGAAACGTATTTTTCATTTATCCAGAAAGATTGCAAGAATATCCAAATGCTTTCTTATAAAAATGAAGCACAAAGACTTTAAATAGCCAAGTGCATTTAAAAAGGAAGCCAAGGCATTTGTGTGACATGCTTTTAAGATCCCTCTTGACTATTTCTCCAAATATTTGTTGACATTTATGTGAAAAAAAGTTGAACTATTCCATTTCCTTTGCTTTGTAAAAGATGCAGCTTTGCTCTTTTTTTATGGCTCAGGAAAAAAAAATTCTGACAGTGAAAACAACCTGAAAATAATGTGATCTTAAGTTAGTTTGCTCCAAATCCATAGATTTAAATAGCTCATTAATCTTAAAGTTTTCTCCTCTTCAGCAGGGAATTGATCAAGTCTAGATGCTTAGCTCACCCAAACTGGGTTCCCTGCCAGAAGCTAGTTAGAAGCGAGAGCCAGTAGGATGGACAGCACTGGGGTTACTGATTATAATGGACCATCTAAGATCCAAGTCTTCCCAAGCCCTACAGATGAACAGAAACGTACCCTGTGTTTAGTGCAACTCTGTTCTTGCCAATGGAGTGACCCATGTGGAGGTAGAAGCACATAAGTCTTGAGTGCTTCTGGTCTCTTTTTACTGACATCTTTATTACAAGTCTGCCTGTTTCTGAAGTTGGAACTTGGAGATGTTACCCAAGTTGCACTAACCAAGTAGCTCCTCAACCATTCCAAGAGCTTCAGCATTGTAAGGGCTAACAATAATCTTCAGCAGGGAGGGAGGCCTTCTCAGCCACAGGAGTGCCAAAGGCTGAAATTACAAAGATCTTTCTCCAAACACCAGAATTGTAAGATGGCCTGATTTCACTAGTAAAAGCAATGGATGTGGAGGGCCACTTGTCAGTTGGGGCTGATGTGTCTCCTTAGAGTTTGGGGTGTATAGGAATGGGTTACCATTCTAGAGTACTTCAGAGTCACAGCTCAGACTAGAGTATCCGTCTATGAAGCTGCTCTCCAAGATGACAGCACAATGTCAAAGTCAACAGGAGTTCCTGGATGAAAGTTTTTTCCCTGGCCACGGTGCACAAAGCCATAAGAAGTCTAAGAGCTCCTTGTTTGCCCAGAAGAAGGATCATTTGGCTGTAAACAAAAGTCTATAGAGGCAGCTAAACCGGTGGCATAATTGATAGCCAACCTCCGTTACTCTTCCCACATTCAGTGGCCAGGAGGTAGCCTCCTCCTTGAAGTTAACTCTGCAATTCAGCAACTATAACTTGAACAGCCAGCAAAGCACCAGAATAAAAAAATGAATTAACCAGCTGACAGCCCACATTGTGCAGCAGAGATGGCTCTACCTTTGTCAACGCCAGCCTCAGTTCAGAGGGGAAGTTCTCCTAGGGCCAACTTGAACATTGCAGAGTTGGGAAGTGGAAGGAAACAGAAAAGAGTCACCTGTCATTTGCCAACTCAAAACATGCCCTTAAAGTGTTCCCTCTTTCTCCGAGGCGAGAGAGGCTGAGGTGGAGGTGACCAGTTCCACCATCCGCCTTCTCTTCTCCCAGGGGTTTTCTTCTCCCAGCCTTGTCTCTGTCCCCAAACGAACACATTGTCTTTGTGGGAGATCGAGAGGCCTTGGTGCTCTTCTCTCTTCCATAACCTTGAGCTGAAACAGCAATCCCCATCAAACAGCCATTTCAAAACTAGCGAAGGGACACCTGTCTGAGCATACACACTTCAGGTTTGGATAACAAGGTAGTTTCAGGAAAGCTGGAGGAGGTTTCTGCCCCTCCCCCCCAAAAAAAACCCACATACTTACTTTATCAGCTTTGAGATGACTTTCTAAGCAACAGACCCTCGTTGATTTCCCCAAAACATTTCCCATAAAAACACCCAACTTACCCCAACTGTAAACCTGTTGTTTTGAAAATGCAGCCCAGCAGAGCTCTATATTGGTAAGAGAATATTCTAACTGGCCTGGCCACAAGACTGACATGTATACAGAAACCTGGAAAAAAACATGCCACAGGTTAAGCATCTAAGCGGAGTGGTTCGTTAGAAGAACCCCTTCATCCTGGGAAATTTTGCAGTAGCACAAGTTGGGGAAAAACTTTTTGCATGTACTTAATGGGTGAGTGGCTTTGAATGTTCCCCTTTGTGTTTTGTGCTTTTCAAATAGAGCAGACCAAGATTTTTTTTCTCCCCCTGACACTGTATTGGTCTTCTTGTAGATTTAAAAGACACGAGAGATCTGCCTGCATGTGTGTTTATATATGTGTATGTACACACACATGCGTATCTCTGATAGAAATTGGCCAAGGAGCCTCCTTTGCAGGCCAACTCCAGTCAGATGGCAAATTACTTCATGGAGAACGTCCTCCTCTTGTTCTTAAGTGTTTTGTTTTTCTTGCCCTGTGGAACCCAGAGAAACACGAGTTTGTTTTTATTTGTAAGGCTTTACTCAGTTGCCCAATACTGCCGAAGAGCTGGACTATGGGGATCTCTCAGGTAAGGGCTGGCCTCCGTGTGCTTGTCTGCATCTGCTCCACGCCTTGTTTGCATTTGGCCGCTTCTCCCAGCACCCCCTGCAGCTGTGACCCTCCGCAGCATCCCGGCCCTTTGGACGCGGAGGAACCGTCTCCCCCACCCCGAGCCCACCCTTCCCTCTTCCCGGCTGCCAGAAGCCTCCCCAGCCTCGGTTGCCCAAGATGGGGGCATCAGCCACAGTGGCCAGAAGGTCTAAGGGGTGGGGAGAAATTACCTAACCAATTGGGATTTGCAGCTTTGTTGTTGGGGAAGGAGGAGGGATTCTGACTCCATTGGAAAGCCTTTTTTCCCTTGAAATGTGGATTATTTTGTCAAAGGCGTAAGAGGGAGGGAGGGAGGGAGGGAAGGGCGCAGCCTCCAGATTGCTGCAGCTGGGAGGGGGGGAGCTGGGCATGGACGCCTGTCCCATCAGTGGAGCAGAGGAGGTGGATTCCTCGCCTGCCCACCCAGCCCTCACATTAATTGCACCCCGACTTTATTCCTTTACAGCAAATGGCCCGCCTGCCAGGACAGGGGGTGGGCGAGAAGAGCGCCCCTCCCACCCTAATGCCTGCCCTTTGCTTTGCACAGGACGCTGCCCTGAGCCTGTAGTGCAGAGGGTGGGAGCCCTCCCAGTGCAGCCTGTTCTGCTTTGTGCTTTATCTTCTAATCAGCAGCTGCAAATCCAGGTTAAGAAGGCCTCCCTTCTCTCCTGCCTTGTAGATGGTTATCCTCCCATTCTTTTCCAGTTTCCGTAGGCTAAGCGGGCGCCTGTTTATGCAGCCCCCAGAGCTTCCTTCCCTTTCTGCAGGTTGTAGAGCATGGCACAATCAAAAGGGACCTGTGTAGTTTGATTAACTAATCAAAAACTGATTAGCACCTTTGTTCATAGGGGATGCTGATTAATCAATTACTATTGATTGCAAGCATGGCTTTGGAAAAGAGATGTCTGGAGAAGCAGCCAATAAAAATTGAGCACCTGTCATAGTGATTAAATTTATTAAAACAAAATACATTATTTTTTATGAAGCTATCTTGAAATGGGTCACTGAAGGGGAACGTATTGATTGGGGAAGGATGAACTCCTTGAATTTCACTCGCTTAAATTAGAGACCAAATTCAATTATATCACAAGACAAACCCTGGGTTTAAATAGCCCATCACTAAATTAGAGAAGGTGAGGGGATAAACTGGGCTAATGAATAATACCAGGCAGCCAGGAGGGTCCCCATCCCCCTTTCCGGATTGCTCTCATGGGAATAAACATTCCTGAGTTGTCCCCGTAAATGAGGGCCATCCGTCAAGCTTTGAGCCAATCCAGAAAGCAAGGCTTCCCTCCGCAGGCCAGAGCCCCACAGCGGCCCCGAGCTGCATACGTTTCTTCTCCAAGCCCGTCTAGTTGATCTCTGGAAGCCCATCGGTGAATTCCAGGGAGACGGAGAGATTGAATTAGGTCTCTCTCTTTGTCAGGCTGCAGAAGAAATCCAGAGAATCTTGATCAGATACCAGCTTTAATCTGCTGCAGGAAGGTGGCAGTGAGCACAGTTTTCCCAGGGGTTCCCAAGAGCCATCAGGGCAGAATTGGGGACCTGCACCCAGTAGAGGAAGGGAAGGCTATAGATTTGGCCTTGCCTGAAGCAAGGCTGCCCCTTCCTTAGTTGGGGTGGAGTTAGTGCTGTGAAGGTGAAGCAGGTTGGGTTGGGTTTGGGTCACGCTGGGAGGAAAAGCGCCAGGGCTGCAGTTTATTTATTTATTTATTTTGTTGCATTTCCATGCCGCCCAACTCCCAAGGGACTCTGGGCGGCATAGTTGGGGTGGGCCTTGGCCCCTCCATTCTCCGGATTCTGAGGTGGCAAGAAGACCTCCCGGTCTCAACTGCAGCCTTTCCGGGAAAATTGGATTTGCCACCAGCTTCCATTGTGCGAGGCAGATTTTGCTGGGGGGCAAAAGTGAGTCAGGGAGGCCCCGTCTGCCTTTGGGCGTTTCCGGTGGTGGCGACTGCAGTGTAGTTCAGAGGCGAAGGTGATGGGGAAAGGGAAGTGTTTCTGCAGGGGTGAAGGAGGCCGCTCTGCACCGAGCATCACTCCTGGCCGTGCCCTTGCTCCGATGCTGATGGATGGCCCTGCAGCCTGGAAGGAGAGGCCGGAGGGGAAGGAAGGAGGGAGGGGGCGCAGGTGCAACAGAACAGCAGTTTGGAGCATTCCTTTACAACAGGAGCTGTTAAAACTTCTGTAAGAGGGAGCCCTAAATCTAAATTTGCCACAATTAACAGCCATGCTGAGCCCGCTCGGTAACCATCCATCAGCCCTTTGCTTTTACAGCACAAATGCGGTTGGGAGGAACTTCGGGCCGGTTGGTCTGGCGCTGCCCCTCCCGTCCCCTAAAGAGAACCCTTTAATACCTGGGTCTACATAACTTAGCAGGAGAAAATGAGACCCCGCGGAGCACAAGAGGTAAATCACAGCAATAAAACATCCTGGGTTCCTTAAGTGCTCCGGCTTCTATGGTGCCCTGGGTATTCGGCATATCAACCGCCATGGCCAAGCTGTTTGCAGCCAGCGCTTATTTGGGAGCAAGAGGAAGCCCTCCGTGCAAGTTGCACCCAGTTTGTGGGCAGCCTTGTTCTTCCTCTCCCAGCACTCCCAGTACGTGACACGGCCAGTGCTAGAGATGCCGGTGTGGTTCAGGGGAAGCCTGGATTTCCAGGGTCCCAGCCTGCTCTGCATATTCTCTTGTTAGGAGAACCTACTCCGACTCCTGCGATCCTAAAGCCAGGCGGTCCTGCCCTCCTCCATTTCCTTCGGGCTGAGAACGTGCCTTGCTCCAGCTTCATTCTGAGGAGAACGAGAGTCTCAAGCTTTGGGGAATGTCAAGGGAGATGTAGGCAGTTCGGCAGGCAGGAGGAATCGGTCACAATGGAGGGAAACAGCAGTGATTCCACTGAAGTTGCTTTTTTCCTCAAGCGGTCTGCCTGATAGTTCCTCCGTCCCATTCCCACTTTTTGCAACCCGTCGTTCAGCTGTGCAAACAACGTTGATTTCTTAAGAGCTGACATCTTTTGAGGTGATTTCACCGCTGGGAATGGGCCTCCTTGAAAGCTGTTCTAAGCGCTGCCTCTCGCCCATCCTTACTTGCAGAATTTTGTGGGCTAAATTTTGGGAGTAGGATGTGAGGAAAATGCTCACTGGCTGCTGAAACCTTAGAAGAGCTAACATGTTTCTGAGATCTCGTCTTAAATTCTGGGTGTGAGTGAGATAACTCATGGTTCCTAGGATTGATAAATGTCCGAAGTTTGGCAGTGTGTAGTTCAGATCGTACAAATTTGTGGCTGGGTCATTACAATTAAGTCAGTTTTTGAAATGCGGGTGGGGGGGTTGTGAGTGTCCGTGTAAAAACAACAAATATTCTCTTTTAAAAAACTGTATTTCATTTCTAATGGAAAGCCTGCCCCTAAAATGTTGTCCAATTAACTTTTTAACTAGGCCAGATCACAGTTGTGGAATCCTTGGTGCGTGCCCTCTGAGCTTACTTATTTCCTTGCAGACATTTCATTACCCAACTAGGGTATCTCTTCCATGCCAGTGAGTGTGGGGTTTTTCACTTCACGTCCCTCACACCCACCGCCCTCCTTTGCACTGATGGTGTTCCCTAGTTAGGTAAAGAAACGCCAGCAAGCGAACGACCGAGCTCAGAGAGCACCCAAGACCCCACAGTTCACTCTTGAGTGACAGAGATTGTCTTCTATTAAAATCACAATTGTATTGGCAGAAGACAGTTCCCTGTATGTGCTTTTTCTCTACACTAGACATGCCAATAATACAGAAAATAAAATCCGTGTACTAAGCAAAGCCAAGATTTTAAATGATCCTTGGTTAAATATGGCAACAATTTTCACTGTTCTCATAGTCCCAAAGCAGTGGTTGTGTTGATGCTGTCCAGTTTTGTGAAGCATCTCCTAGCTTTGCAGAGGCGCTTCTGAGCTGCAGCTCAGGGCCAGGCAGCAGGACCATCAGTGGGGATGGTCCTGCTGCCGAGCCATCGCTTGGCATCCCTACCGATGGTCCTGCCCCCAAGTCAGAGGTCATGGAGTAAGCTTGCAGTGGGATTCTCTGGGGCCCTCCAAAGTAAAGGCTCTGATGCCAAGGTTAGATTTGTTTCCTGCCCATTGCACGGCAGGTGCTTAAGTAGCATGATTTGGGGGTTTGGTGACTGGCATAGACCGCTGCCCCACAGAGTAGGCGCCCCCTTTCCCCAGAGTGTGGGGCTCCCTTCCCTCTGCTGGTTGCCCTTTTGCCCCTGGGCACAGAGCGTTGGGCAAAGGCCTGCCCCCAGTTCCCCGTCCCTCTTTCTGGGAGGCACCTGGATAGAAATGCTAGGAGGCTAAGATGTATATTAACATCTTAATGAAAACGCCGTGCATGGATCTACGTTTACTGCTCGGTCTGACAAGAAGGAATTAAATGTCAGAAGGATTTGTAGCATCTGTAATTGAATTGGTGCTGAGAAAAGCAAACCTTAAGGAAGAAAGAATAACACATTAGGATTAGCAAAAAATGTGGCATTTTCTCAGAATTTGCCAGTGAAAGTCTGCCTGCTCAGCTCTGAATTGGTGTCTTTGAGCTTCCGTCTCCCTCTTAAGAGAGCAGGGGAACCTGGACGGCGTTTTTCAGCTACCCCTTATTTTTAAGGTCAAACAATAGTTTTCCACACAGGTACAGTAACTCTGGGATTTCCCCCAGTTGTTCAGTGGAGGCCCTTTGATTTCATCAGTCGGCGAGGGTCCCTTCTAAGATGGAATGACTTCCATTCTGTGCTTTGTTAAGACATGTCAACAGGCAGCTGGACAGCCAGGGGTAGACCCCCAACTGCTAAATTGCCAGGTTGATCAGCAGATAAATCTTCTTTGACACTCAGAATACCCCCCAACAGAAAGTGATATATAAAATGAAATAGCCTAAACTGTCCATAAATCATCTGAGTCTCCCCTTGGCCTTTTTCCATTTAAAAGCTGGACTTCAGCTCCCAAAATTCCCCGCCCACCTGGCTGTGCCTGCCTGTGAATTCTGGAGGTGATGTCCACCTAGATAAACGTTGCCCAGCCTCGGATGTGCCCCGGGGGCCTTAAACTGCCCAGGGTCTCAATGAGGAACAGTTCCTTGAAGCCTGTCCTCAACCATAGACCCTCAGTCACAAATGAGGGTTAAGACATTGAATTGGGAGAAGCTGCTGGGAGCCTTTAAGATCCCCATTAACATCAACTGAAATGTTCTGAAAGAGAAAAAAAAAACAAGAAAGCTGCTGGCTGGGGGATTCTGGGAGTTGAAGTCCACCCATCTTCAAGCTACCAAGGTTGAGAAACACTGCTCTAGGCACTCGGCAAAGGCAGCAACCCCCAGCAAAGCACAGAGCCCCCCCCCAAAAGCAGCCAAGAGGGACCCAATTGGTCTGTCCCAGTAGGTTCTCCCATCTCCCACCTGAGCCAAAGCTAACAGGTAGAATTGGGGGTGCTTTTGGCTGGGGAATTCTGAGAGTTGAAGTCCCCCCAATTTAAGAGTTGTGAAGGTTGAGAATCGCTGGTCTAGACACACCCCTACTCACCCTGGAGGAAGAAGGACCATTGTAAATTGTGTCAAAGTACCTAGATTTGACTCAAGTCATGCCAAGGGCTCATTGAGGCACGTGAAAAGGAGATTTACCGGCCCTCTTAGGTGCCCTCCTCAAGACCACGCTCCTCACCCTGCCTGATCCTCTTCCCTTACCACGGGTGGAAGGTTGGTGGTTGACCCACGGCAGTGGCAGCCTTGTTCCCTCTAGCACCCTCCAGGTGAGGGTGGCCGTTGCCCTTACCTGTCTCCTCCTCTTCCCTGGTGGGAACCAGGATTTTGCTCTTCATATGCCAGGGAGACCGTTCGCCTGGACAGCATCTAACGGGGCCTCTGGAAGACACTTAATTGGAACTATATATTTTTTTAATTAAACTTCATTTTGCAGCAATTTTCGGCCAGGAGTTATTTACTTAACTCTGAGCGTTTAATGATGGCGTAGATTTGATGCTATTCATGGGGATCGTAAATCCTTTTCCCCGACTGAAAGCCTCCTACCTGGCCTCTCCTCCTCTTCCAAGAAGCCCCGTTACCTGCAGCTGTCATGGAGCTGCACACTTGATCGATAAACTTCAAATATTATTAGAGGCGGGCGGGGGCCTCCGAGAGAGGACCCACTCGGGGGAGAGATCAATCTTTCTTAAAAATGGGCTGAAATTTGCACAACCGGCTCTTCCTGGCGAAACGCATTTCTCTCTGGCACCCGGGCAGGCAGGGGGGAGTGGGGGGCTTTATTGGCCAGGCGCTTCTTGTAGTGGAAGATTTAAATGGCAAATCCTTCACATCGGACTTCACAAATCATGTAAAGTTAAAAGAATTTTACCATTTCAGTTGCTGCTGTGCTTAAATTGTAAGGGACGGCCAGTAAATCATTTTAATGGAGGTGTCACGGTTAAACTCGATCAAAAAAATAAAAAAAGAGAGAGGTGGGGAAAGGCGACCATGGCTGAGCTTCCATTCCAAAATGTTAATGTATTAATCAACAGGAGAATAATTGTCTTTTGCTCCCTTATAAATCTCGGTTGCCATTAGAGTTGCAGGGAGGGCTGCTGGAGCCGCGTCCCTAAATTAAAATTGTTTACATTGCTATACATTAATTTTACGTGGCCATCCCTCACTCGGGGTTCACTGCGGCTTCTCCCCAGCTGAGCGAGTCATTCCTCTTCTGACAGAAAGCATTGGGGGGGGGGGAGTAGAAGAGACCGAGCAGCTCGTAAAAGCAAATTAATTGCAAGGCAAGATGTTAAATAAATAAAACAAAAGCAATAGGCAATGATTGCTTTTTGTCTTCAGTTCAGAAGAGGTTGATGGCCCGTTTTTAAATCTCCCAGAATGGGAGAGGAGAGAGGTTCAGGGTTGACCCACCACAATCCGCCCCCCTCCTTTGACAGGGGAGAAGGTAGCAGCTCCTGCCTCCCTGTTGCTCCTTCAGAGAAATTTGATCTTTGTTTGAAGGTGGGGGGACATTTGTTCATGGGGTTGCGGCTACAAGGTATGGATTCCCTATATTGGAAGGGTCCCCCAAACAACGTCTCCGTGCTTCCAGTTGCTTCCCCTTCTGATAGCATCTAGTAATTCTCACCACCCAGATGCATTCCAGAAGTGCCCAGCAGCCTGAACCACTTCCCGGGGTCCCATTTGGGACCCTCTCGGTCTAAAACGGAGGCATCCAACCTGGGCAACTTTCAAGTCTTGTGGACTTTGATTCCCAACTCTGGGAGTTGAAGTCCACAAGTCCTGGGGTTGCCAGGGTTGGACACCCCTGGCCCAAAATAAGTCACACCCCTGCGAGGAAGGGTGATTGATGTTGCCAGGGACCATCCTGACCATCTCCTAATTGTGGCAGATTCTCGAGCAGGAGAAGAGAGCGCCATCACGGCGGTGGACCATGCGGTGATCGGAGGAGTGGTGGCCGTGGTGGTCTTCGCGATGCTCTGTCTCCTGATCATCTTGGGGCGGTACTTCGCAAGACACAAAGGTCAGTGCAAGTGGAACGCTTGTCGACAAAGGTGGGATTGGGGCAGAAGGGATCTTGGACATCCCCTGTCCTCTCCCTGCCTGCTCTATGGGCTTGGGGGGAGGGGTGTCTCATATGTTCAGCTTCTTCCCTGCCTTCTGCCCAATCAAACAGAGCCCTTCTCTGGCAGTCCATGCAGCCAGAAGCAAAATGTGGTAAGAGGTCCTCCCTCACAGGACTTGTAGAAAGTTAAAGATGGCTGAAGCAGCTGTGCCATTGGTCCCATGGTAGGGCCAGTCCAGGGGAGGGATTCAGCCGGTTCTGACCAGTTCAGGCATACCGGTAGCTCCGATGATCAGCTGAGAGCGAACCGGTTCGCTCTGACGATCAGATGGGCCCACCCGCCTTCCCCTGCGCTATAACCTACCTATATTTCTTTTGTTTTAAGCCCAGCTGATAGGCGCGGCAGAGCGGATTGCCGCCCCTCAGCTGTTTTACTCTCTCTGGATTCAGTAGAAGGTAACTTCCGATTGTAATGTGCATGCACGGAAGCGCGAGTTAGATGCACAACAAACTGGTTGTAACAACCGGTGAATCCCACCACTGGGCCAGTCCCAATTTTTCTGGGGATCTTTTAACAAATCAAGAATCGTGGAGGCTACAAAACCAGTTGGTGTGAAGGTCTCACTCTGATGGACATATGTCCATCATATGTCACCCTGCATATTAGATATTGGACATTGGACATATGTCACCCTGCATATTAGATATTCCTTAAAGTGTGTGCGAAAGCTTCATAGGGCTAAGAGCTTTTCAAAATGCTTTCCCTCCCCCCACCCCACAAAGAAACGGAGGGACTTCCACATAGTTCATACATCAGGCAGGCCCTACACAGTCTCATCCTGGAGCCACGTCTGTAGAGGAAGAAGACATTTTTCAAGACCGTCAGAAGGTCAGCTCTCTTGCATCATAAATTGGGCAGACCCCTTCGAAAGATGCAGGGTGGCATTGCAGGTGGGCTGCATTCATCCGTGTTGCTTGGATTCTTGCTATGGATGCCCCCTTTTGACCCGTGCAGAAGGTTGCCAACATCTCTCATCGATAGACTGGGATTGGGGAGCTGTTGTTGGCTGTGGGGGGCAACTGCCAGGTACACCTGGACCTCTGGGAGGGCAGCCTACCAGATAGGATGCATAAAGACCTCCAAGGCCAACTTTTCCTTAGAATACTCCTCAAAGTAGGGTGAGGAGAGGCCGCTTGGTTGCCAGGAATCAAAGGCCGGTGCCTAATGGCCCCTAATGGACGCCAGCTGCCGATGCGTCTCTTGGTGCAATTCTGTCCAAATTTGTCTAAATCCAGATGAATCCTCACATGACTCTTGAGAACCTCATGGAGGACTGATTTGACTTTGAGCTGATTTTGATCAGCTTCCTGGCTGGGGATTTTGGGAGCTTTTCTCCATCACATCAGGAAGACCCGGAATTAGGGAAGGCCGTTCTCCATTCGTCCCTCCCCAAGGGGGAGGGTGAAGAAGGGCCTGGCAGGGCGGAGCAGAAGAGGTCCTAGCCAAAAGCTTGCATCATGAGACGGGAAACAGGGAGGGGGAGGCCTGGTGGGAAGAGGCCCGGGGGCTGAGCTGGAGTCTGTCCCTGAGGCCTCTCTCCTTGGTGCAGGTACATATTTCACTCACGAAGCCAAAGGAGCTGACGATGCAGCGGATGCCGACACTGCCATCATCAACGCCGAGGGGGGACAGAACAATTCTGAAGAGAAGAAGGAGTACTTCATTTAGAGCCCCCTTGTTCCAGGAGGCGTCCAACGGGCCGGGCTGAGGGAGGCCCCGGCCCTTCCAAGAAGATAAAGACAATGATGTTGGAAGTTGCTACCAGCTTACAGCTTTTTTAATTTGTCTCTTTGTATGTCTTTCTTTCTTTCTTTCTTTCTTTCTTTCTTTCTTTCTTTCTTTCTTTCTTTCTTCCTTTTCTTTCCTTTTCTTTTTTTTTATTTTCTAAAATTATCGGCTGGCAAATGTATGGGAGTTGAGGAGTCCCAACGTAAAAAAAAGTGTTCTTTGTAAAGTACACTCTGCTGTGTGACACTTCTGTATCATTGGGTTGTTAATTCTCTGGCCAAGTTCAGCTTGGATTTAGTTTAGTTCCATCATTTACAGAAAATTCTGTGCCTTGTTTTATTTTTTATTTCATTGGAGGGAGGGGAGGAGGGAGGGGGAGAGAACCTACAGTTTCATACAGTTCTTACTTTTTGGTTTTTCTTCCTAGCCTTTCTTGGAATTGTCTGCTGGAATCCCTTGAGAAGAGATTTGGGCTGGTTGGTTATTGTTGTTTTTTTTAAAAAAAAAAAAAATCTCTCGTTTGGTTTTGTTAGTTTTTTCTCTTCTTCTACAATTTCTTCTTCTTCTTCTCCCTTTTCTTTCTTTTTCTTTCTTTTTTGTTTTGTTTGAGATTCTGGGTTCTATTTTGTTGTTGTTGTTTGAAACCGTGTCATCAAAGGAGAACCAGCACACCTTAGATTTCATTGTTTGAAACTGAGTGTATCCATCATCCATCATAATCCCTTGTTGTGAGAGCTTGGACCAATAGGCTTTGTAGGAGAAGGGGCAGCCGCTGCCTCAGTTTCCAGTGCAGCAAAGACGAGCACCTGGGCTGGTTCTGCTTCTCACCGAGAGCCCAAAGTGTGCTGACTTGAGCACCTGCAAGCAAAGTGTGTGCCTAGGGAGCCAAACCGCCTTTCCTTCCGTGCTTTTCCATGCTCCCGAGTGTCTGGACAGGCACAATCAGCCTGCAGATATCTTGTCCAAGATCTTCCCCGAAACGATTGCCATGAACCGGGGGGCAGATCCTTTGGGGACAACAGACAAAGCCGAGTCGAAGGAGGGGGAGGAAAGGTTGAGTTTGGCTCTGATTATTTTGGTTCCCAAAGGTCCCGTCGGTGGCTCCCAATTTGGCCCAGCATCGCTGTAATTTGCTGGAGACAGAAAACTCTGTGAATCGGCCAACTTGTCCCCTTTTGCTTTTTAAAAAATTTTTCCTCCCTGTTTTCATTCTGCGTATTCTTTCGGCCTCGTTTTATCCCTTCTTCCCTTTTGTGCTTGGCGACAGAGGTCACGGTGTGATCTCAGCCTGCAAACCCTGTGCGTGACCCATATTGGGCACCCCGAAGTCACCAAGGCAGAGGCTGGGTGAAGCCTGCCACGCCTTCGGATGTGATTGTCGGACAAAAGGCAGGGGGGGATGGAAGAGAAGCGAGCCTTGCTCTCCGGCTGGACAGCCCCTGCGCCTCTGTCCCCAGGAAATCAGCGCAGTGGCTGGTGCAGAAGCTTTTTGTTTACTTGATCCAAATTTTTTCAGGCTGAGTGGGTGTGCACGACAGAGAGAGAGAGAGAGAGAGAGAGAGAAATATTATTTTCTTTTTCCTTTTCCCTGACTACAGCTTCCAAATGGACTCCCTTCCCCAGGCTTAATTGCCACCTACCAATAATTGATCAACCTTTCCATGGTGGCAGTAGTAGTGAAGAGGTAACCACCGCTACATTTTTTTCTGGTGGGTGTTGGAAGCCTGAAGCTCTGAGAGAAGCTTTCTTCTCTTCCCCAAGGCTGGAAATGGGGGCACCTCCCTCTTGGAAAGCCTGGGGGAAGGAAGGAGGAAGGCAGGGTTTCTCAACCTTAGCACAAGTGGACTTCAATTCCCAGAATCCCCCAGCAGCAACACAACGCTGGAATTCTGGGAGTTGAAGGCCACTTGTCTTAAAGTTGCTAAGGTTGGGAAACTCTGCCCTTGGAAAACGGGGTCTCTCCGGGAGGAATCCACCTTGGAAGCAGGGCTCGCTGACAGGGAAGCACTTAAAGGATACTGACTGACAGATTTGTATGGCTGTCCTGTTATATACTTGCAAAGATTTATCGTGGGGAGGGTGGGAGGGAGAGAGAGACTATCATCTCTTTACGTCAACATCTTTTTTTTAAGAAAAGAAAGGCTTTTGAAAATATTTATTTTTAAATTATTGGCAGAAACATTTAGAGACAACCTTTCGCTGAAGAATTTGGCACGCGAATCCCGTCCTTTTTAAAAGAACCTTCCCGTCTTCCCTCCCCTGACAAACTCCCCACCCCCACCTTGCCATCCTTAAGCCATGAACCCAAACCCGGCCTTTGGCTGCCCCCCCCCAACCCGTTTTGTACCACGCCATCTTGTTTCTCAGCCTTCGGAACCACCGGAGACCCCAGTCGGGGGGCACACTGGCAGGCAGGCCATGGACAGCTTCTGAACGATTTTCAAGAGGGAGGGGGGCTTTTTTTAACCACCACTGATCCCAGAACTGGCACATCCTCTGCGCTGAGCGGCTCATCTTTGTTTTCGAAAGTGTACAGTAGTGCCGTGTTCCCGATGTAACTTTGACTTAATACTGTTGAGATGTCTCAGGTTCACGTGTTTTGATTGGTGTTTCCGTCTCAGGTAGATTGCAAACTTTTTGGATCCCACACCTTGGAAGAGACCGCAAGGAGCAACCCCTCCCCCCCAGGAAAGGACGGGCGGTGGTCTTCCGCCATCGCCCGGGAAGGAGGCTCTGTTGAGGAGGGGGCGGCGGTGGGTGTTCCTGCAAGTGTTCCGTGCACTGTTTGAAATGTATTGTTAGCTATTGATTTGTGCAGGCTTAGATTCCAAGAGTTAGGAGTTGAGAAAGAACAAACTTGTTTTTTGGGCTTTGGTCATTCGGATGTGGTTTTATTTTTTCCCCCTTTTCCTTTTCCTTAAGACAGAACAAAAAGGAAAGTTGAGGAGGAAAATGAAGGGTGCGTAGCTAATGCCAAATAAGCTTGTTCTTGACTCGCCCTTTGACCTGTTTTAATTTTGCCCCCTTAGGCCGATTCTGTTTAAGGTGTCCATGGATGATGTTACAGTGTAAGAAAACGCATAACCATCTCTTCCCATTCACATTTTGTATTGGTTCATGTATACCATTTTTACAAAAGAGAAAGAAGTACTATAAAGTATCTGTCTTCTTAATAAAAACAAATTAATGTTACAAAACTAGTGACGGCCCCGGTTGGTGCTTATTTCTCACTTCTGTCTCCTTGAGCCTCCTGGCTCTCCTCCATGGCTCACTTTCTGAAGCTGAGAGGGTGTTACCCATGGAGCCCCTTCCAAAGGCAACTTTAAGACAAGCGGGCCTCAACTCGCACAATTCAGAACTGCTTCTGAATGGTCGTTGGTGGCCCTGCTGACACCAGGACCTTGTTTGAGGCCTTCTGTTAGCCAGAAGGTCAGGCTGAGGGCCTCCCCTGATCCAGCAGCACTGAAAAACCTCATGAATACCCAACGTTTGGATTCTGCTTCCTTGATCTCTCTAGGAACTTGACCAGCAATGATCCAAAAGACCTTTTCTCCAATGGGCCTGCCTGTTGAGGGCTCCCACAGTGGCATTCACGAAAGCCCAGTGATGCCAATAGGTAATGAAATGCCTCTGAATTCTGGGCTTTTTTGTTCCTCCCTCAAGGGTGTGCTGTAGTATTTTCAAGCTTTGCCATTAAATTATTTGTGAAGAAATGCTCTCCAATGGAGCTGTAGGGGAGATTTTTTCACTGACAAGTCTCAGTAGTTTCTTGTCTAATTTCAAAAGAAGATCAAGGGAAACCTGATTCCTTCAGGGCAGGCATTGGAGTTGGCAGATGACGTTTCCCTGGACATTGGTGTTGGCAGGAAGGCGAAATGGGTTCTCTAATGGCCCCATCATTCATTGTCCTATGAAAACCATAAAAGGAAAACTCTACTCAATAGAAGAGAGTTCTTCCTCTGGAGAAATCTTGCTCTTTTCTGCTGGAAAAACAGCCTGCCTTTCTCAACATCTTGTCCTTTGTCAAAAGGAAGCTTCATCTGATTATGTTTTTTGAGTGTCAGGCTGAAGGGGAAGGGGATCTGGACTTCCCTCTCAGGATTTGGTTCTTTCCCTTGATCTGCTACCTAGTTTGATCTACTATCTGGTTTGAGCACACTTAATACTGTCATAGTCCCTTTCTTCTCATTGGCTGAGCTGTGATAGAAAAGGTGGCAAGAAGGGACAACCAGCTATATTTATTTGGCCAGAAACGGCTGGACTATCTAATCTAAAACCGGATAGTTGCTAATTCTCTTTCCTCCTTAAGCTAAATTCCTTGAGCGAGTTGAACTTGTGGGCCTGCTCCAAGATGTCTCTTCCTCTTCCTTTGCTCATTTGTTCCAGAAGAGGAGTTTTTTTCTTGAATGAATGCTGGCTTGAATTGGATCAAAATCTAGAATTAACTCCTCAGCCTATTTTCCCAGGCAATTCCTATAGAACTGAGTTGCCTTTTGGTTAACGGTCATCCCAACATTCCCAGTCTTCTTGGATGGGTCATCTTTAACTTTGAGTGTTGCTCTTCTGTGTCCCCAGAATATCTGAGTGCATTTTAAGGAGCATACATCAATGCAACTCTTGTGGACTCCAGGCCCGTACATGATGTTGACCACAATGAAAGTCAACATTCGTTTGGGCAAACTGAGGCAGCCCTCCTCTGTGGTTGATGTCCAAGCAGTTGACCATTTGCAGTCTGTTCCACAAAATCCAAGTCTCTGCTTTCCTGCAGCTCCAAGGGTTAAGAAAGGGTTCATGAGTTTGCAAATAGGACAATAAAGTAGCAAACACCAGGCTGATGGTAATCTACCAGAACATAGCAACAGCTAGGATTCCCCAAAAGATAACTGCTAGTTTCTCTTCCCTGATTGATATCTGTTCATATCAATAAGGAAACTAACTATTTGCCCCAAACCTATTGACTCAGTCCTCAATAGGGAACAAACCCCAAAGCCTTTGGATCAGGGGTGAAATCCAGCAGGTTCTGGAGGTTCTGGATAACCGGTAGCAGAAAGTTTGAGCAGTTCAGAGAACCGGTAGCGGACATTTTGAGTACCACCTCTGGCTGGCCCCAGAGTGGGGTGGGAATGGGGATTTTGCAGTATCCTTCCCCTGCCACGCCCACCAAGCCACGCCCACAGAACCAATAGTAAAAAAAATTGGATTTCACCACTGCTTTGGAGGCCTCCTTTAGAAGAGATTGTCATGACGTGGAGCTTTTCAAACACTTTCTTAGTTCTTTGGATTGTGCACCAGAATTATTTTAAGAGCCTGTGGCTTTACCATGGTTTATCTACGAAAGGAGAATGCCCCTGTTTCTGACGCTGATCTTTAAAGCCAGGAAAACAAGAGCCCCAACCACAGAAGAAATCAAAGTTTGCTGCTCCTTTCTAGAAACTCACTGCCTTCTTAATATGCCTGGTTGCTTCATTTTCCCAAACCTAATCGCCTTAAATCTTCCTTAAGTGATATCTCCTCAGGTTAATTAATCTCCAAGCTTAAACTTGCTGTGAGCAGCAGGCAGTCGGTCCTGAAGTCAGCAATGCTACGATTGCATCTCCTAATGCTGTTTATCCTGCATTAGTGTTTACTTAAGGAGAAAATTGATCTGTAATTGATATTTCAATCTTCCAGAGCTGATGTGGGGAGAGACTAAAAAAGCAGACTTTAGCAACGCAGAAAAATTTGCATGTCCATCTCTCTTCTGCTCTGCCTGTCCCATATTAATGCCAAAAATACAAGTTGGATTACAATTGGCTGTTCTTTAAAAGAACTTTAATTTGGAGGAGGTGGGGAGTCTGTCAGGGATTATTGCGAAGATGGCAACAGCCCCAAGTATCCGTGATTGGAGACGGAATCCTTGCGGGAGGCAAAGGCTGCCCCACCAGGCCCTGCTTGCTGGATGCTGACTTTCCACTGGCAACCCAAGGAGCGCAAAGTGCTTTTTTGACTGAAGGCTCCCCTTGATGCAACCATGCAAGGTTTTCTGCTCCCCACCCTCCCTCCCTCCCTCCCTCTGGGTCCTCTGCTATATTGTTTGATAAAATGTCAGAACTATTTGGTCCCCCAGCAGTGCCCTCTTCAGGAACAGCTGCCTTGTGAAGAATGTTCTGTCCCTCAAAAAGTCACAGGTTGGGGAAATGGCAGCTTTGCTCAGGAAAAGAACAAAGTTGCTCTGGAAGTGGTGATTCTACTCATAGTTTCCCTGGTCAAGCTGCATCTGGAATGTGATGTCCATTTTTGGTTGCCATGATGCACACAAGAAGGCTCCTGAAAAATGGGAGAGTACAGAAGAAAGCAGCAATGCTGATGAAGGTCTTGGAGCCAATCCAAGGAAGAACTGCTAAAGGACTGGGGTGCCTGTAGCCTGAAGAAAAGAAGGCTGAGCGAGTGGTTGGCAGCCGTTTTCCCCTGCTTGAAAGACCGTCATTGAAGAGGGGGCAGGGCATTTATTCTGCGTGGTCCCTGTGGTTGGGCAAAACCCAGCAGGTGGCACTTCATAGAATTCCAGATTTAAAATACGGAGGAACTTTCTCTGCATGAGAACTATGAAGCTGTTGGGCAGCATGGCCGCTGGGGTGGTTTCTAGCAAAGGTTGAACTGTCTGGGATGATCTGAGGATTTCCACCAAGATCCTGAGCACATTCCAAGCCGATGCTCCAGTTCCCTCTGCCCACCTGAGGAGCTTTAACCCACCACAGAGAAGACTGGAGCGTCTCTTCCAGGGTTTAGCCTGCGGGGTTCCTTGGAGCTCTCCTTGGTCCTGATTTGGCTGCCTGCTCCACACAGAATTGCTGCTGTGCCTGACAGGGCTGCTTGCTGGCTTCTTAAGCGACCCACGCGATCTAAACTTGCTCCATGTGAGTTCAACTCCCCCTGCCTGGATGTAGCCCAATCAGAAATCATTGGGTTTTCCGTGTGAGTCCTCTTGGGTAATCAGAGCATTCTCTTGCTCATATTATTTTAGCTCATAAGATTCCTAGTTGAACCCTCGCAGCCCTCTTGGTAAAAACGTCTCAAAGTAGTTTGAGGTTCCCCACTGCTCCCACCTCCAGTTTTCCTCTGCTTTTATACCCCCTTCCCCAGCTAAACCTAATCCTGAACATATTTCTATCTGACGGTTTACTGAGATACTTTCGGTTTACAAGAATGTCCGTTACATTACACAAAAAGACTGTTTTCTTATAAGAAAAGCAGTAAGGTTGGAACTTTTACAATTTCTGGTCCAAATCTGCATAAGTATTAAACATGTAACCACAAACCCTTTTGAGAAACTGAGCTGGATAAGAACTTCCTATCTTCGGGTGTTTTCCAGAGCTATCTCGTGGCCTACCTTTGGTTTCCAGAAACTGCAAGAGCTGCGTGCCTGCTCTGGATGCGGTGTATTGTTCTTTGGCTGAGCTGAACCATTATTCTTACTCTGCGCACATCCTCTTAGAAATACCTGAAGTTTATGCGGCTGCCCGGCTAGAACCAGTGAAATCTTTTGTAACCTAATCTGCCTGCAATGCATCTTTGGACAACTTCCAAGAGAGGCTACAATTCCATTATAGCTTCCCACATACTGCATGGGGTGGAACAACAGAGAGAGAGAGAGAGAGAGAAAGAAAGCACAGCTCCATTTTTGGGATATTACAACCGTGTGCATTGAGAGAACTGTTGCCAGAGACAACAAGGTTAAATCATTCCTTTGTGTTTCACCGCAGAGCTACAGCTTGAAACCCTCAGATTCATCCTGCCGCGCTCTTCTGCTCTCATGGACCAGCTAAGGTGCCATGTCTGTGAATGAGAGGAGGGGGAGAAAGAGGAGGGGGAGCTTAAATGCAAGATGTCCATTATCTGAAGGCTCTATAGGCAAAGTAATTTGGCCAAAGGTGTGATTTGCCATTATCCAGTAGATACATCTTACCTAGTCTGTGGCAAGGGCAGAACTGAAGTCATGAGTCTGAAGCTAAGTTGGTTCTGCAACTGTGGCCCCTTGTTGCCAGGGAAGCCTCTGCAACCTGTTCCAGGTCCCAAGGACCCTTCCTACTTCAGTGTACCCACACGTGGGACTCAGAGATACAATCAAATGCTGGGTACAAAATGCCATTTAAGCTCCTCACAGCCTGGAACATCTAGACAGCCTTTGAGCCTCAGTTAGCACAACCATTTCTCCTTCCGC